TTCTTGGCACACCATCTTACCAAGGTATTTTACAGTCATCACATAGGTCACTAAATTTCTTTCAAATGTCAATCCTTTGTGAAAATGAAATTTCTTCAGACAAAAATGTGTTTGTGAAAATACAGTGGGCTGTTTTCTCTGAAAGGAAGTTTTACCTGCTTCATACTACGGAAGCAGCAGATTCCTAATGTTGTGCCTGTGTAGTAGTCAGCTATGGGCTAGAAACACAGTGAGAGAACAAAAAATGAGCTTATAGAATTGATTGTCTGCTTAAAAAACCCTGCAGCTAAATTTGTCTTAATTCCTGATTTATCTTAGTAGTGATAAAAGTTGTCTATAAATCTCAAAAAGACATTTCAGACCATGCTTTAAGTGCTGCATGAATGTTACCCACTGTGCTGATGTCAGGCCCTATGTACTCTATCTTGACTGACAGTAAGCTGGTTTGGGGAATTAAAAGAGCCTTCGAAGGTTCAATTGCTTGGGAATTATTCCACATGTTTAATGTAAAGTTCTCCTTATTTGGACAATAAGAGACATGCTTCACCCCACTGATTTTGAAAGAAGCCATGAGTGCTGCCCCTGTTCTTAGACATGTAGTTCACTGCTGGTGCTGGCACTGAGCATGTCCAGGAACACGCCTAAGGAACCAAGTCCCTTGAGGGAAGGAGCATCCGGGTCCAGGTTGCTGGAGCTGGGGGCTCAGCACTGCCAGGACTGGGAAGCAGCAGAACCTGAGGGTCAGCAGTGCAGTTAAATGAATGGAGACTTTGAGCACTTTCAGCTAGGAGAGAGTTTGAATCCAGGTTTGGATTTTCTTCCTGTGTTACGTGTTCTTCTCACTCAGACCTGTCTTCATCACTGGGATTCAGGATATTCAGTAGCTTCCATCAAACAGTGCTTTTTCTAGTCTGTTTACATGTACAGTCATATAATATGTACATTGGTAGTAAATAATAGGTACAACAGTGAGTAAATACAGCAAATAGTGAGAGTAATTGGGATGTAGCATTTGGATCCACTCCAAAAGTGGTGAATGGTATCCAATTCATTTGTTGCCTCACTATTTGCTACATTAAGTCCTTGAGGGGACATTTGCTTTTAGCGATCCAGGGAGGTTGGTGGTTCTCCTCATGGAGCTGAAGTGCTACAGTTTATACTCATTGAACTTGTGAAATGCCTCCTCTGTTTTTGCAGGTTCTCTGTGCTGTGTAAACTTGAGTTATAATCATTGCTGTTGCCAGGAGGTGTCAGTTAATTTTTTCTGATGATAAATTGGCATTTTGCTCGATCTTATCTAGACTATGAGATCTTCACTTTCTAATTAGGTTCAGGTAGTTTTATCTTTCATTTGGATCTAGGTTTAAAGCAGTAATCCTCATTTTCTTTTTGTGTTGTATAGTTGGGAGAATTGTGCTTTGGATTCACACACAGGCTGCAGCCTTTATGTCAAGTGAAGGTGATTAAACAATGACACTTTTAAACTGACTACTCTTCTCAAATTATTTTATTTCGTTAAAAATTTATTATATCATTTAGTGGTCAAGTCACATAGACTTGCTTTGTTCAGTCTCTCTAGAAGGCATACAGTTGCTCACAGTAAAGGATGGAAAAATAAGTTGTTTTTTCATACATGTCATGCTGGGAGTTCCTTTCAAGGGCTTCCTTAGAGCTACTTTCTAATGTTATTTTCAAAATAAAAATTACTGTGTGACAGCTGAAGGTGGTGACTTATTTCCCATGTTATGGATGTGACTTGTTGAATAAATACCTTGGTTGTCTTTTTTGAAGAGATGCACTGAGTGAGGAGCTGGATGTTATATGGCATTTGTGTCTTGGTTTTTTAATTTTTTTTTTTTTTTCAAAAAGTAGTTAGATATTGAAACATGTTTTAGGAACAAGCTGGAGGAACACTTCCTGGGAGCAGGTGGATTTTTGATAAGTACTTAATAATTCTGAAATTTTACTGATCTGAAAACTTGAGACACACTGAAGCAGCATATGTATAACAGGTGGTCTAAGCCATGTAGATGCTTTGCATAAATCAGCCTGATTAATAAGGAGTCTTTTTGTTACTTCTGTCTTCTGAAATCAGTCTTGTAATAGTTGAAAGTTAGTACTATGGAGAGGGATATGAAGAGTATAAATTACTTTCTTGTGGAAAGTCTAGTGTTATACATCATCACACTTTCCTCTTAGCTGAAGCTGACCCAATTACCTGGAATAATTTTCACTTTGCAATACTGTTTATCAGGTCAATGGAAAAAATCACTCCTTAGAGGTAATAAAAATCATTCTAGTATACTAAAATATCTCTTTTTTTACCTTTCATGTGTTCTGTAAAGACTTTTCATCATAACAATTTAGGTGATTGTCCAATAGTTGTATTCATTTGTAGGTGTTTAGTACTGATGTAATATTACATTAATGTCACTTTCTGTTGGGAACTGGACTCTTGCACTGAAGAGGATCTTTGCATGGTGCTGTTCTAGGTGAGGGTGTGAAGGACTGATAAAATTTTAGAAGAGAAACCAGAGTAAGTTTGGTAAAGCAGTGAACAGACTGTTATGTTGTCTTATAGGGATAATTTAAAAATAAGACTTTGGACGATAGATAGAAAATAAATATAAGAAGGAATGCAATGTTACTCTGCAGATAACTGTTTTCTGTTTTGCACTGTTTGTTGCACTGCGATTCAGCGTCAGAATCATCAAAACTTCAGAATAGATCTGGCTTTTAACTTGTAGTTGGAATAGGTACAGATAAAACTCCTGTACTGTTCTGCTGTAACTAGAACTTGATTGTCAGGGCTCTTGTAAATTTAATGCTTAAACTGGCTTTTTAATATCAATGGCATAAGTGATTTGAAAATATGTTCTAAAAGAAGCTACAACTCAGAGTTTACAAAGTCAGACAGTTTGATTGGCTCTTTGTAGTGTACAATATATGACCAAAAGGCAAATTTATGGGAGTGGATTATAAACCAAGGCTTAGCTTATGAAGGGAGAAATGTAGTTCAGAAAAAAGCAATCTTTGAGTCTCATGTGCTCTGAGCTCTGTCTTTGTGCAGCTTCATTTCAGTAGAAACCAGCTAAAGAAGAAAAAAGGTTGAGTTTTATGTTTTTCTGTCTGTGTGGTGCAAGCACATGCAGCAACTGGGAATGAAGAAAATCTCCATTTTGAGGCCATCTGTGTCGGTTCTTTTGTCTGAACCTGACAAGAGGTCATGGCAGATGGTGGGGTCACAAAGTCTGGCTTCTCGGGCTTGACAAAATGTGTTCATAAAGCTGGAAGAATCCCAACTGTTCTTACTGGCTGAAGAGCATTGTGGCAAAGGACTGTAATACTTTATGGACAATACCTTCTGGATCATTAAGCTTGACAGCAAATAACTTGTCAAAGATGAACTTAGTTTGCTTATCTGTAAAGGAGTTAAAATTGCACAGCAATTATGTTCTTAACTACATTTTATTTGAGTAAATTACTTGTAAAGCCTCTTAAAGAAAGAGAGGGAGGTCAGACTGCAACGTGAATTTTGGCCAGAGCTCCAGATGATGGATTTGGAGAGTTCATCTGCAAGGGTCAGAAATTTCGAAGAAGAACAGGCACCAAAGATCATAATTTTCAGATGCATTGCAAGGATTCAGTATTTGCTCCTTGCCATGACCTCTGTAGCTTTATGGCCTCAGGTTTCAGGATTACTACCAGATCCAGTAGCTCCTTTCCCCAGGGTGGGAATAGATACCTCTTTGTAGTATCTTCTCTGAAGCCAGAGAAAAATTTGTATTATTTTCTTGGATGTTTTGTGGTGAAACTAAAATGTGCAAGTTTTCACAGGAGAATGTCTTAGTAGAATTGTGTGGTGTTCACATGCTGGAGTAACTGCTTAATTATGGCTGCAGTAAAGGGAGGCACCAAGGAAGATAAGTACAACTTGGTCAACAGGAAGTGGAGGACACCTCTACCAGTTTAATTGTTATGTCTGAATAAACAAAGAAATGTGTAGAAACAGCCTAGAATTTAAAATTCTCCTGGGTTATCCAAAACTACTAAAGCAGTGATAGGATGTGATGGTAGAGTTCCTCATTAGTGCACACACTACTGAAAAACCCCTGGCATATTCTCAAACTTGACACAGGTTAAAATACAGAGAAAATGGCATGAATTGCACTCTACTTTTGTAACTGGTGAGTTCTGCTATTGATGGTCATGACTCTTCTTTGACAAATAGTTTAGGTATCTTTCTAATTTTACTGAATTGATTCCACGCTTCAAAGTATGAACATTTCTCTCTCTCTCTTATTCATCCAAATGCAATTCAAATGTCTTTTGTAGTCCATTTTTAAACTGTAAGTAATACTTACAAAGTACTTTTCAAGGTACCTAAACACTTTGTCAAGTTAATTCTACCTTTAAAATAGTTTTCGCTGACGGCATTGATTTGTAACTTTTCTTCTGTTTTCTATAAGGCTTCTGGAAGCTTTCATTAAAAAAAAATAAATCACTTTATACTACTTTTTGGTATACCAAAATTTTTGTATTTTCCTGGAATTCTAATATTATAATTCTAACTACACAGGTTTAATAAAAAAACATGAAATTATTTAAAAGATGAGTTAGATCTGAATTGTTTTTTTCTTGCATGTTTCCTAAAAATTCTGAATTCTGTTTTCTGTATATATACATTTCATTAAAAGCCTACTCTGTTGTTGGCTAAAGAGACAGTGGAGAGAAGTAATTCACTTCCGTTTTTAAAGCCAGTCTGCATTAAATGGAAAAATTGCATTGTTTTAATTACAAAAATTTAGTAATGATAAAATGTGGTTTGCCAACATATTAATGTAGTCAGGGCTTTATGTAAATTGGGCCTTTATATATAGGATTTAATCTCTGCCTATTCCAATCAATGAATATTCTTAGTATCTCTGCAGAACCTGACTATTGTCAGGTTTATCAGAAGCTTGGATTTCAACTAAGATATTTCATTAACTGTCTTACAGGATGTTCATTTTAAAGATTCTGTGAAGATGAAAAGGGATCTCTTATGGCTTTATGAAATATAAAGCAATACTGTCTGACATGACGGCAAAAAATGTAAGTATAACTCTTCAACATGTATTACCTTTTATATTGGCATTCTGCCAGTCACTGCTGACTGTCAGAATTGTGTGGACAAATATAAGAAATCAATCACAAAGGCCTTAAAATTTAGAAATCTTATCTGATTTTTGTATACCACAAATGTGACCCCTATCATCTTCTGCAGTATTTTGATAAATTTATCCTGGTTAAAAGCTCTTTAAGCATGTGGAGTTTACTCAGCTGTGGGTCAGATTGATAACTGAGACAGTGATTTATGCTGTTTTCATATTGCTCCATTCAGGTCCCTTCCAATTTGAGATATTCTGTGATTCTTTGATTTCTTCAAACTTGTGTGAAAGCTGCACATTTTGTTGAATCTTCTCACCTTTGCATGTCTGTAAAATCCTACTACTGAGTCTGAGTCTCAGATCTCAAGAAAAAATAGACTGCATTTTTTTTGGGTAATGTTGGTAGCACTCTTGGTTTCCAGAGTTTCCAACACTCTTGGTGTCTAGAAGGCTGACGACCTTCTCATTCCTTTGCTTGCTCATTACCCAGCCTGTAGTGGTATCTCAGGACTCTATATTTGACTCCTTTATCCTGAGTTCTGAGTCTTAACATCCTGACCTTAATTTTCTGCCTAATTAGCTGTGCTTCCTGAGGTACACAGCTTGTATAGAGAACAGTTCTGATTAATCCTGGTGATCAGTGAATTGGGTATGACTTTGGGCCCTGGGCAATTTGCCTGTTGACTGCCTTTGACAGGGCATCCTGCATTCTAGTTGAATCTGAGTGGATTTAGGAACCAACACCACCAAAGAAGTGCCCCACAATGAAAGTGCAGGTAGCCTAGCAGGTGCTCTGTTCAGTAACTGCAAAAACTTTTGTGCATATTGGCTTGGGTTAGATTGGTGCCAGTTAAATTAATTCTCAAGTATTGGAAATTTCTGTCGACTTTATTAATAACTTCATTTGGTGTGTAGTTCCAGGCGTTGAGGTGTCTTATATCTCATTTTTTGATTCAAGCTTACCAAGACATAAAGTCAACGGATGTGTATATTCAAAGTCCTTTGCTTATTGTTTCATAGGTCATATTCAACTCTAGTACAAATAAGTAATTCTACTTATGTATGTGGGACAACTGCATAAATCCCAGGTCATTTGTGGCTTTGACAATTTGTTTGATGCAATCAAAGGATAAATACCAATCCCAATAAAATCCATGGAGTGCCGTGTAATAGTCACAGAGTGGCAGGGGCTGGAAGGGATTTCAGGAGACCGTATACTCCGGTGTTTTGTGTAAAGCTCTTTGACACTGGAACCCAGTTGCTTGGTGCTTTGTTCAGGGCTCCATCAGGGCTTTGGGTTTTGAAATTCTCTGAGAACAGGCGTGGCATTCAGTCTGGGTAACCTACTCTTGTTCTGAATATAGAAATAAGCTTATGTTGTTTACTTCAGCACAATGCTGTGGTTACTTTAGAGAATAAATATTTTATTGATATGCATGCTTTGAAATTTTGCATGTCAAAATCATGCAAACCTAGTCAGATACCTAATATTTATGGGTTTATTTTTTTGAAAAAATGAGCTACTGTGGTGCAGGTGAATATAGGACTCAGTTTTCATGTTTACTTGTTTATGTAGTGGTCATATGCTTTGTGTCATTGGTAGCACTTCTTAGGGTTTACCCAACCTTGGTTACTCTGAATTGCTCTGGTTACTCAGAACAGTGTCAGCCCTGGTATTTCCTGGTGCTGTTAGAAGGCCACAATGCTTCTGAATTTGCAGAGTTGCAGGGTTTAGATTCTATATATGCCTGGGGATTTCTGCAGCACAAAACAAATGTAATGTTAGTATTTGTTACAGTGTCAGAAATGGTTTAGTGATCTGCACAGTTGAGTTGAGGGAGAGAGCTTCCCTATGAGAGTACTTCTTCCATCATACTCCTTTATGTTGAAGCATCAAGGAAAGGAAATTTTAAAGTACTGGAATTTGGGCATCTTCCAGGAAACATTTGAATGGCACGTACCTTCTGTCAAACGTGCACAGCAGGAAGCTGCCACCTCTGCATTCTGCAGTCACTGCCCCTCAGCTGGGCGTGTCTGTGCTCCTGTTGACTCCGTGCAGTGAGCTGGGGCAGGAAGAGCTTTCCACCTTGCAAAAGGCTGTGTTGAACAATCTTCTGTCCAAGGCAGCTTGTGCTTCAGGCACGTGCCAGAATGTTCCTGTAGATTGAATGTGTGTGCAAGATGAAAAACCTTCCCCATGAATAATAAAATGTTGAATAAAAGTTACAGGTTCTCTTGGAAAAGAGATGTTTATGTGCTTACCATATATATTACCCAGATGTAATTCAAATCACTCTGTTCAACTGTGTTATTTCATTCTTTACTTAGATGAGAAAATGTGGGCTTTTTTTCTTGCCTGTTTTGTATCTCCTTTCCCATCAGTCCTTCAGGTAAAAAGACACCAAAACAGTATTAACAAATGGAGAAATAAAAGAGCAAATACTCATGGTAAATTTATTTTTAGTTTAGTTTAATCAAACAAATGAGTGATATAACTTCAGGAAGTTTTTTGAAAAAGACTTTTAGTTTTGATTGTGAAGTTATTTGTCAGTGCTTCTCAGAGGGTGGCTGTCTTGCCATAGATAAGGTCAGTTAAATGGCTGTGATATCTCTTTCACATGTCAGCATGGAAGAAAGTTTAACTGCTGAGGGTGGTCACAGAGACTTGCCCAGCCAAGCAGTAGAGAGGGCTGGGCTACAAGGCAAGCTACAAGAGCTGCTCGTGGCAGTTGGCCCCATCCAAGACTCTGGCTGTGACGCTTTGTTCCCCCTCACCCTGTTTGGAAACTTAGTCACCTAACAGGAAAGGCAAACAAACCTCTAAGATATTTAGTAGTATGCAAAGGCCTGCCAAGTCCTTTCTTCATCTTCCATCATGGCTGGATTCCTTGTGCTGCCCAGAACAGAAGCAGGACTCCAGCTCCTTCCATGCCCAGTGATCCAGACACTCTGGGCCAGTGTTATAAAGTAGAAATATCACAGGAGCAGTACAGAAAGTTAACAAATGGTACCAGTTAAGCGTTGGACTGTTTACTGTTTTCAGCTTAGGAGTTGTTACAGTACAAGATTCCCAAAAGCAGTGCATGGTCTGTCTCAGATAACAACATGGCCTGGGACCTCTTGAACACTGAAATGGAATCCTATAAAGGTCTTACTGTGCAGCAGGATTGTAATGTTACATCACACATTGCTTCTTCTGAGGACTTAGGATCATTCTTCTGCAGGAGAAACAAATTCCTTTAGATCTGCCACATTTCTCACTTCAGTTCTCATGAAATTTATTTTGAACAAGTTTGTTTTGAAGCTCTTCTGAACTTAGATACAAGGATTATAAAATTGAGAAAAATGCTGCCCTTTATAAATGTGCTACTATGATCATTGTAATGAAAACAACGTATTTCTGTGATTTTGTGTCATTTGGATCACTGAAGTACAAATGCACACCAAAAACTCTGTCAAGTACTTTGTTGCATTTCCTTCTAAATCTTTCAGAGAATTAAATGTAGAAGTTTGAATTTTCATTCTGACACTGTATATGTACATCATCGTCAGTGTTTGATTAAAACACTGATCTGAATTAACAGGGAAATGTACATTTGTAGATCTAGAGCTGAATGTTCAATTGTGAACAAATTTCAATGCTGTCTTTAAAGATGTTCCTCGTAACCCCTTCTCTTGAAATGAGTTCAGGCCCGTAATCTAACATTTATCCCTGTGGACCCCTATTCTTTCCCTGGATTGAAAATGTTTCCCATTTGTGTTCCAGTTGCTGCAGAGGCAGGCAGGGGTCCTGGGAGAAGCTGTCACTTGTTTGTGTGAAGGCAGCAGAGGGGTGAGGCAGCAGTGCAGCCCCTTCCCCTGGCGGGGCCTTGCAGCGCTTTGCCCTGTGCAGCTCCCAGCTGTGCCGGCCTCTGCTTGAATCTCAGGAGCACAACCTCAGCGGCCTCCTGTGCCTTCCTTGTGCCCACGCACAAGAGCTCTGGAGTGCTGCTCCTTTCTGTGGGGATCTGCTACCAAACCTGAGGTGCTAAGGAGACCTTTTGGTTCGGTTTTGTGTCTTCCTCCCTTTGCCCTGCTCCAACCCGGGCGTTCCTGCTAGGGCTCTGCTGCATCGCTGCTGCACCGGTGCCACCTGCTGGGAGACAGCCCGGGAACGGGAGGGAAACTAGGACAGCCTCTTTGGACACAGCCTCTGCGGGCACCACAACAGCCCGAGGCTGCCAGTGTAGGAGGATCTGGGTGTGCCAGGAAGGGCAGGAAAGAGCCGGCCCATAGTGACAGTGTCTGAGATAAACTGAGGACTGTACCGAGCATCTCGAAGGGCTTGTTTATGGGAGCACATAACTGAGCTCATCTGGGCAGTGTTCTACAATCAGAGTAGTGCAGAAACACTTCTTACGTGCCTCCTGATGGGGAAACAAATATCTTAGTAGAAGTATTTTCAAGAGTCTGTCACAATGCTGTGTGCAGATTTTCCCCTACAAAAATTATTTCCTGAATACAAGGTCTCTAATCAGAACTGAGAGATGGAATGCTTATAGTAGGTATTCTTTTGTCTTGTGTAGTTTATTTTAGTTAATTTATCTAAAATTAAATGATGCTCCAACTGGAGTGTATTGAAATTCTTCAAGTGGCCCTAGCATAGGTTCCATTATTGCTACATACAGCTGTAAAATAAAGCAAAATGTTTGATCCTTCATCATATGATTACCTTCTTTTAACTTGGATAGTGGAACACATTGCCCCAATGATTTACAGAAGTACTCAAATTTTGTAATATTTTAAAAAGGCTGGGATATGACGGACTTCTCATTTCTTCCCTTCCTCATCCAGGAGCTGTGATCTTGTATTTTTCTGTACAAACTACACATTCCTATGCTTTTTGTGCATGCCAAAGTCTGAGTTGCACTATTCTGTATAAGATTTAAGTTTTCCGTGTCTCCAGTAACTTACACCGATTTACTGAGGGTATCTCTGAGGACTAGGGAATGTATTTAGAATGCATCAATAGTCACATCTCAAACCTCTAGACTGTGCAGCTTAGTACTGAGGCAATTGGACATGGGCAGATTTCTGCTGTGTTATTGGTGGCAGCTGCTCCCTTTGACATGGAGGGGATGGTGCTTTACACCATAACAGCCAGAACGGGCTGCTTGGGTCATATGTAGTACAGAGTCAGAAAATTCAGGGTGTTTTTTAGGTAGCAACTTAGTTAAAAGTAGAGTTTCCAAATGTCCTGGATACCTTGCCTTGAGTCTCCTACTCTTGTTAGACTCTGCTGTCCATAGGATTGTGATGTTTCATAATGCAGAAAGTTGCTTTCATAATATTATTAGTTGCATATTAGAAAACATAGAAAGGTTTATCATATTTTAAGACTTCAAAAATGTTTCATTCAGGTTGGTGTGACTTCCACAAATGGAGACTTGAAAGGATTTATAGATCAGAACCAGAGTCCAACAAAAGGTAAGAGAATTCTATTCCATATATACATTAAGACTTATTTCACTGCATATGATTGATTCACGTTTGGGATACTCAGAATTTAAATGTTCAAAATATATTTCATACATCCCCACTGGTAGTTGTTTAATACCAACATGTAAGTGTCAGCAGCAAAGATGGGAAGGCCTTCAGAATTTCAGAGGGGAAAAGAAGGTGTGATAAAAATAATAAGAGGCTAACATAAGCCCTTTTTTTCATTCCTTGATGGTGAATAATATGCTGAATTTCCTTAAAGTTCCCTGTTTCTGTTGTAGTCAGAATGACAGAGAAGGCTAAGCATGATGTCATACTTCTTTCTAAATGTTCTGCATAATTTACAATAATAATGTTTTGTCCTGTCCTGTTTTATCTTAGCACTTCTAGATTAATCACTTTGGAGTCAAAACCAATTTATGATCAGTCATAACAGCTATGGTATTCCAGTAAAATAAACCCTTATCTATATTAGAAAACTCAAGGATTTGCAGACCAGGAAACATTTCAATCAACCTTTTTAAGTAAATACTGGTTTGCTGTTATCCACTGCAATAATCAAATGCATGTAGTAACAGGAAGGTTGATTTTTGGCTGATGCCATCAAACCTAAGAGACTGAAAAAATGAGACAGCTAAAGAGAAAATGGCTGGAGCTACAGTATCTTCCTAATTTTCTAAACTGTGCAGAATGTGACAAATGGGTGGAGGCTTAGAATTATTTATTGCACATTGTGCTTCATTGTTTTGTGATTAGTGTGTTGTGATGCTAGGGAAAAAGACTAAGTGCAAGATTTTCAAATAATTTCTGAAACAAGCAATTGATTTATCCAGAAAATAATGGAATAACTTTATAAAGTATTGGTCATTACTGTTAGGAATGTCCCAGTGACCCATATCCCACTCTTTATCAGATTTTGCTTTTGGGATGATGGTTGCATCATTATCTCAATTTTTGTATATTTTACAAAATGTTATCATCTAATGACTTTTATTTTTAACCTTGAGGTATAATTAGAAATTGTTGCCATCTCTATTGAAATAAAACATTTTGTTCACAATGGATTACTCTTCTTAGAACATCAAATATTCCATAAAAGCTGGGGAAACTTGTACAGATACAGCCAGTATCTAAGCTGTCCCTTGCTTTCAGTTTAAAATATCCTTTAGTTCTTTTAGCATGTCCACTGTTGAACTCTGGAAATTATGGAGGGGGCAAAGACTCCAAACAGGCATTCAGATCCACTGACTCTTAACAGGGCTTTGTGATCTTCCTAGTGAAGGCAGTTTGGTTTGTTTGTTGGGTTTTTTTTAATATACATTATTTAAATTAAATAATTTACTATAATAAAAATAAAGGCAATTTACTGCTACATATCTGGGCCTATTTATAATGTGCCTCCTTAGTACCCTTAGACTGTGGCATGATGGATATATGATATGCTCAAAAACAAAGGAGAGAGGCCATTTGCTCTAATGAAGACCTTCTTGAAAGCATCAGATTTCAGGGACTAGAAATTTTTGGTTAAAAAACAGTTACATTTTTCTTTTCTTTCCAGAAAGATAATTGTGGTGTGTTTTTGTTATTTGCCTCTAGCACAAACAGTATTGCATTAATGGAACACTTCAGATTCCCATGCTGAAACTTGAGCACATAGAAAATTCCTTGCAAAATGTCTTCCTTTTTATTAATAAGCCCTCATCTTTTATTTTACCATGAAATCTGTTGTGAAATTTTAGGTTTACTGGGTCTAATTTTGAAAAATGCTGTTCTGCTCTGGGTGAGCCATGGCCCTGTCCCTTTGCCTGGTGACAGCAGCCTGGCTTTCTGAGGATGCTACACCAGGTCAGCTGTTGCTGTTCCTGTGCTCACACAGACACTGCAGTCTCCTTCCTCAGCCTTACCACCACAGATAATCGTTGTGCTGGGGAAACTTTCTGCCTTTTTCTCACTGAAAATGCCTAATCAAAATAACTGATCACGTGACCCTTGCACTTCAAAATGTATTTCTCTGCTTTTCTTCCATTCACAGGCTCATTTTTCAAAATCTCCTTTCCCTGCTAGTTTTTCCCCTGAACCATCTTGGGGAGTAACTCTGGTGCTGCCATTGCATTGTTTGTTTGATCATGCTCCATTCATCTTTCCCACCATTACCTTTAGTGTCCTTTACCTTTAGAGCCCATGCACAGCCTCTGGGTGTTTTCCTGGTATATTTTGCTACAGGAGAAGTTAATGTTCACAGACTGCTTATGTATTGCAATCTGATCTGTGTTAGAGTGCTGCTGTGTCACTTTTGCTGATTTTTAAATCTGAATTAATGTTTCTAACTAGATTGGCAGGTTGTTTGGTTTATTTGGGGGTTCAGTTTTCTTATTCTAACTTGTTTCCTGTGTTTTTTAGTGAATATGGTCATCTTGCTGATGCAGCTTTTTCACATTCAGGCTTTTTAGAATACTTTCAGTATTTATGTCTTTATTCCTCGTGTAGATGATGTATAGGGCAAAAAATAATTTCTAATACCCAGTGTATCTAAATGCAATGCAAATTGACTAGGGAATTTGATGTTCTAAATGTGAGGATTGCAGAATCAAAGCATATACATCCAAATTTGTAATCCTCATAAAAATACTTCCTGCCTAATTATGAAGGGAACCAGATTTTTTTCTTACATGTGCCTAGAAGAAATTTCACAGTGCTCAGCAGCACATTAACTCAAATATTGTTCACTTTGTTTTCTGAACAGTTCTAGTTCAACAGACAATTCACTTCCCTACATGTGTTGCCTTTATCTCATAGGTAACAGGCTCTTTTGGTTAAAAGCCCCTCCATTTGGAGCTTTCTTCTGCTTGAAATGAGCACTCCTTGGATCTGAGAGGGAATGCTACATGCAGATGGCTTTTGACTGATGGCCATGGTACTCAGCTAATGCCAGGGACTGCTTGTGTGAGGACCACCACTGGGTAAAATATTTTAGTAGCCCATGCAGCACAGTCAGGATATCTCCTTTCTAAAAGTCCTTTTCACATGGTCTGTGACACAGTAGATTCTTATTGTTGCAGTCAAAATTGTCCAGCTGTGACAGGCTGAGCTGCACTGGCCATGCTTCACTTCCTTACCTGAAATTACTAATGATTGAAATTGTTCCTGTAGGAGACCTGCATTTTAATATTCCCAGACAGAAAAAAAAAATGTCTCTGATTCTCATTGTTTAGTAAATGAATATACTTGGGATACTGAATGGAAAAGAGCACCGGCCAAAGCCTGGGCACTGGCTGGATGCCAGGGCACCCCATGCCCAGGGGAAGGAGAGGCTGCCACGGGACGAGTGGGACTGGGCACATCTGCTGCTCCTGGGGCCATAGGTACAGGATTCTTAACTTAAAATATGTGATGCAGACTCATACAAAGGTTTTGAGGAATCTTGCTGTCCTTAGTTAATACTTCTTTGTTACTGTATTCCCAGTTCCTATGAGTTTACATGTTGTTCTTTGTTTACTACTGTGGAGGGAAAAGGGAGTCCAGCCACAGAGCACCAGTCTTGCTACAGGCTCCATGAGGGAGGAACCATTAATCTTATCATAATTGTAGAGAGCCTGCTTTGGGTGGGAATCTTCACTTCTGATACAACTTTGCAATGAACCTCGTTTCAATGCATCTTTGTATTACACAGTACCTATCGTTTACTAAGTCTTAACATGGCTGGTGTTTGAAAAACTTAGTGCACAGGGCTGCTGTAAGAGAAGTACTTCATTGTATGCTTGAAGAGAACTGCTAAAATGACCAAGACATCAGCAGCAGTTATCCTGCAGGCCTGTGCCTGGTACTTTCAGATTCATACAGCTGTTAACTCCTATAGATTTGTCTCAAATTGAACAGTAAAAGACTGAAATTGTACTGCTCAGTGTAAGCCTGAAGTACATTGAAAAACTGTCTGCCCCATTTTATTTTTTCTTTTCTACAGATTTCTTTGATTTCATCTCTATGGAATTTTTAAAGTTAGGTTTGTAGCCTGGTAATTTTGTGCAATGCGCAAATGAAGAATTGTACCAAGAAAAGTACTTGTGTACTAATAATGTGATAATAATTTTTCTTTTATCCTACTGATCTTGGAGGTAAGTACATTTACTGTCTTAGTGTAATAGAGGAGCCTGAGGACACATCACATATGTTATTCCAAAATATCCTAATGGGATGCTGATATCTCACAGCTCTGAGCTGGGGTTTTTGCCATCATTGTCAAGCTGTAGGCTGTATTATTAAAAATGGCTGTTCCTTGAGACACTTTTAAAAAGTGGACATTTGTTCAGAGCTGTGAATATGAAATCCAAATTACCAACACTTGCCTGGTGTTTTGTTTGAAAATTCAATGGTTTTTTTGTTGATGTATGCTTTGTGTATAACCCCAGCTGGTTGGGCTGTGCTCCCCATCAGCCATGGTCTCCTTCAAACTGGCTGTGACAGATTCTATAGATTCTGCAGTTGACATTGTTTCTGATTATCTTTGCAACTAATGTGCAGACCTAACAGATTTAGTTATACAGGAAAAAGAATCACTAAAACCTCTTTAGCTTTGTATTTGTATAGGAGTGCATGTTATTTATGTGAAATTAGGCTATTTAGGGTGGCACATGATTTAGAATGAGTTTGGTGAACTGCTTTGTGTGTGCATGTGAGCACACATGTACGTAAACATTAATAACTTTATCTGTGACTGCTTGAAGCTGAAGATCATTTGTATTGATTTTTTCTTTTTGTGCGCCAGTAAAATTATTGCACAAATGCCAGGAAGAATAATAGTTATGTAGCAATGATGTTTTTTTAAAATATGAAATTATAGCAACTGGTTTCTCTCCCTGAGAAGCCACGATAGTGGTAATTGAAGGATGGAAAAATAATTTGTGTAGAAGCAAAGTGCTTTTGTTCTGAGACAAACATATATATATATATATATATATATCCACTGGCAGATTCTTATTCTGAATTTGCTTCAGTGCTAAGGAGGCTCACTTTGGGATGGCTCTCTGTGTATTGCAGTTAAAGCCTCCCTATGAGAGTTTTAAGAATGTTTCTTTCCCATGTGCTTGGTTTTCCATAGGTAAATGGGAATAATGACACCGACCTCCTTTGTGCCTTGAAAGTACTGCTGAGAAACATTATATAAGAATTGAGTATTATTATACAAATCATTCCATTTTGATCCATCTGTGCTGACCTTTTCCATCCATGCAGTGAGATTACCGTGACTCAAGACTGATGGGTCTCATTGTGTTCAGCTTATCGCTGTACTCACTGCTCTTGTGCCCCAGGACATAAATCAGTGTAATCTTTTTTGTCCCCAAATGATGGGTGTTATTAAGACTTGGCATTTATTTAGAATTTGGTCATGTTTAAAGCCTTTGCAGTTGCTTTGTGATAGTATATATAGTTATTTTGATGATATTTCTGCTTTCAGTTGAATACTGAAATCTGTTGAATGATTTGTCACATCTACTTCCTCCTAAATATAATAATATAATGATATAATAATAATATTTGAAGCAATTGAGGTTACATGAGTATCTAGATCATGATACTATTTAGAAAAAAAGAAAATGGTAGGGAGGAATATTTTATTTGTAATTGATAAAACTTTGTTTACTATTTTTTCAACTGCTAACAAACACAAAAAGCAACCTATTACTGTGAAGAATTTGGCTGTTCTTTCTTTCTGGCCACTGTGGATAAGAAATACCTCACTTATAAAAACAAACTTGTTCTTTTTCATCCTATCTGTATTTTAAAATCTAGACATCCACATATTTATATTTGCCAATAAAGAAAATTAGAAGTAAGAACAAGGGCAGGGAAACATTTCTTTGAAAACTTGGTCAACTCTTAAGATTGATAGTACTGCTGCCAAATGAGGGATTTGCATAGGGATTAGAAGATGAAAATCTTTTTTATTGACAGTAACTCTGGCCAAAAAGACATTTAAACACACACCATATGTAAGCAAATGTCTTTTTAAAATCAAGATCAGGTCATTTGAATGACCCTTGTATTTACTGAAGTTACCCCAATGATGCCAATGTTCCATTTTCCAAGGAGCCTTGTAAATGAAGGCGCAGTGCAGCAGTAGCTGCTAATTAGTGGTTTATTAGTGGCTTTCCCTGTGCTGCTCAGTAGATCTGGTGGGTTTGTGTGGCTTTGGCCATGGGTCTGCATGTTGTGTGAGGGAAGTACATCCATGCAGAAGTTCAAAGCAGTCACAGGTGCAGCTGGATCCCAAAGATCCCGTGGATCCCAGTCTGCGTGGCGCATGAGAAGGGAACGAGCTGTGCCCAGTGCTGGGTGTGGCGGGTGGCCGTGTGCATTGCCCAGTGCTGTGAGCCCCACTGGCCACTGTGGCACGGACAAATGTGACAGCCCCGTGCCTCCTGCAGGCTGGGAAGTGCAGCTGGAGGCAGCTCTGTGGTGAAAGAGCTGGGAGCCAAAACCCACATTGTGCCATTTTACTGCACTTGGCCATGTGACCTTACGCTGTCTACACCAGAGAAATAATTTATTTCTTTTCCCTGGTAAGACAAGGGACAAGGAGAAATAGTATGAGAGCTGATCTTGGAGGTAGTGGGGTCAAAAGTTTCAGTTGCAGTAGAAAAGAGGAAAATTTCTACAGCAGTATTGGGAAGTGACACGACATTGATGGCAACAGCCTGGAATGAGGGGAGAGACTAGGTTTTGATGGAATATGCTGGCACAGCTTGGGAAATCCTGGACAAAATCCTCTAGCAAAAGTAAAACTGACAAGTGAGAGAACTATTTTGAGCTCAGCATGGGAACACAGTGTATGTAAATCATGAATTACTTACTGTCTTCTGCTCTGGCACTACCTCACAAAAGATGTTTCATAACAGAGCAGAGATTTACTGGGGGTTTGCAAGTGTGGGAGGTTTATATTTGTTTTTCTAGGTGAGTTACATGACTGAATTTATTCATGTTATTGAGTAGAGATGCAAGCTGCTTCTGAAAATGTTTTCGGATACAGATTTGCCTTTTGGAAAATTAATATTAAGTAGTATTACTCCAGATGCCAAAAGAATCTACATAGAACATTAGAACATCCTAGTCTCAATTTGCTTGTATTTCTCATATATCTATTGAATATTACTTATGAAGGTGAGACTTTGCATAAATCTACATCTTCTCTACGTTTGTGCTGTAACTGCAGAAGATCCTTTTCCCTCTCAGTTGTGTTGCTTCTGGTTGCAGAGAAGTTACTTTGTTGAATTTATAATTTTTCAGTAACCTAATGGAAAACATAGGTATGCTTAAAAAAATGTAAAAAAAGAGACCATGATTCAGGACCAAGTGAGAAAAGAAAATTGGGCAGTGGAGGTGAACAGGTGATGTGAGAAAAGACAGGGGGGAGCAGGGATGTGTAACACCACTGAGTCAGCTTGGGCCATGTGGGCTAAGCTGAGTGTTGGCTGGCTCCTGTGGGAGGAGGGTGGTGCCTGTGCTGCTCTGAAGGGACCTGTCACCTCAGATGCCTTCAGCTGCTGTCTGCAGCGCCAGAGAACATTAGGAGCTCTCCAGGAACCTATCCTTGTCCTCATGACAGGAGCCAGGCTAGAGCCTGGCCTAGAGCCAGGCTGACTGGATTACCAGGCAGTGGCAGCTCTTCCTTCTATTTGGTTGTGCCTCAGATCCATCCCTCCCCTTGCTGCATCAGGCTGTGTGTAGGAACGGGGGCTGCTGTTTGATTGATCAGTTCCCAGCCCTCCTTTGATGCTGTCACAGGGAAAAGCTGCTGCCACCACAGTGGCAGTCTGGATAAGCTGATGTGCTCAGGGCTTTGAGAGGCTTGTGCACAACGGTTTGAACACCCAAGGGGTCGAAGTGGTGCTGCAACAGTTTTGATTTGAACATTGATTCTCAATAATCGAGATACAAGTTGCAATTTGGGAGAGAGAATGAGCCAGCAGTATTTTTGGGCTCTCAGCACAGAGCTGCCCTTCTCTGTGGAAGGCAGGATGATTTAGATCCATAAGCAGTTTGGGGTCACAGAGATGATAAATATCTTGGGATGAGAACACCCTGCACTAGAGATGGCATGCGAGATTTTATTGTGACATCCAGCTACCTGGTCTGTGACTTTAGGTGAGTTGTAAAGGCATCACTTACTCCATCTGTACAGTGCAGGCTATGGTTGGCTTACATCAGCAATGGCTGTGGAACACTCTGGGACAGTCAGATGAGGAATAGTTAAGGCTTTGAAGGTTTATGGATGCATATTTTGTACATGTGATTATGATTGTATGTACATTATTAGGATTTGTACGTTGGCTTATTTTAGAAGTATTCTCATTAATTTTCACTTCTAATGCTGAGGAATATCAGGCTGTGTGTGCTTTGTCTTAAGCAAGAATAAATTGCTTCTGGAAATAAAATACATGTCATTTTAAAAGTAATGTAGTGAAGGTGTAGTTTTGTGAGGTGTCCTTGTCACATCTGCTGAGAGGTCTGGAGGTTACCTCAGGGGGTGTTCATAGCGAATGAAACAAAGCCAGCCTGATTCCAAAGCGTTAGAGTGGTGTGAGAATTTGCCACAGCATTTTTCACAGGTTACTAAGGAACGAATTTAAAATTCTCCTTTTACCATTCTTTTTAGGCAATATTTCAGTAATCGCATTGCCAGTTTCCAGCACCAACTCTCCGACTAAAATTTTGCCAAAAACCTTGGGACCAATCAACGTGAATGTTGGACCCCAAATGGTAAGTTTTGCAACCCCAGTATTGCCAGCTTGTGCAACTGGCTGTGACTTCCTGGGGGTGTAAGACAGGAACACGAGAGGAACTTGCTTCTTCCTGCCTCAGCCACAAAGTGCCTCACGTGGATGGGAGGGTGGTGACCTGGGGCACAGCAGGCCTGGCATGCCGGAGCTGCCACTCCCAGCAATGCTCTTGTATGTGCCCTTAGGAGGTACCTGTCTTTGGGTGGAAATTGAAACAGTTTTACCAGCTGACACTTTTAACTATTGCTCACAAGTGTATTAAGAAAGAACCCTCATTACTTGGTACTCTTTGAATGTTTTAAGTCATGTTCTCACCAGTAAATATCCAGCATTGTCAGAGAATGTCTTTGATGTGTTGGTAGGAATTCTAGACTTGTTAGAACTACTCTTCTTAAAGCTCTTTTTTCCTGTCCATGATAATTGTATGTGTATATTGATGTTCCAGGGATTTTTGATCTAGTTTTGAGAAAAAATTTAGATTTTTCTGGTGGTCAGAGAGCTAAACAGTATGACAATAAAGACTGTGAACAGTTTCTGGTAACATGATACCTCCTTGCCAAGCACTTAGCCTGAGTACAGAACTATTTGATGTGTTTCATAAAAATGGTGTTGAGCCTTTTTCACCCGAGTAGTGTCTGCTGTTCAATGTGGGGTTTGTCCCAGCTGGGCAGAGGGGCACACACATCGCAGCCACCCCTGTGGCATGCCCTGCTCACAGAGCTCTGCCCCCAGCACTGGCCAGGGGCTGCCTGCCAGGAGCAGCTCAGTACGTCAGTGCTGATGTCTGTCTCACTGTGGCCTGAGCCCTGTGGCACTGCACTGGAACAGATCTGCCTCTGAGGATGTGTCCTGACAGTGCAATAAATAGCCCACAACAGGGAGAGCACTCACTTAATGCAGTTCCTGTTCTTATGACTGACTTCTCAAGCCCTGCTTTTGGTTTCAGTGAGCCCTGCTTGAAGTTGAGGTTCTATAGCAGGTAGAAGTTGCAAAAGGTACTGCGTGATGTGAGACACACCATTTTTATTCTTCTTTTTGTTAATTTTTTATTTTGCTGCTTTGCAAGGATAGATCTATACTTAGGAAACGTTTTCTTAATAAATAGCCATTAACGCAGACTTTCTAAGACACCCAGCATACAGCTGTGTTGTGCCAGGCTGTTTAAGAGCGAATGTTTACGAGAGGCAATGGTAGCGCTCCCTCAGCATCTGCCTGTGTCAGCAGCCCCCTGCTTGCTTAATTTATTTATTTCGGTTTCTTTCCGCGCTGCGGTTCCAGGCCCCGGGGCCGCCGCGGCTCCTTCGGAGCAGCGCAGAGGCCGCAGGAGCGGGCGGCTGCCGCTGGGCGGCGGCGCGGCCCGGGCCGGGCCGGGCTCGGCTCTCCCGCGCCCCGGGCCGGGCTCTGCCTCGCCCCGGGCCGGGCCGGGCCGGGCCCTCCCGCGCCCCGGGCCGGGCCCTCCCGCGCCCCGGGCCGGGCCCTCCCGCGCCCCGGGCCGGGCTCTCCCTCGCCCCGGGCCGGGCCGGGCTCTCCCGTGCCCCGGGCCGGGCTCTGCCTCGCCCCGGGCCGGGCTCTGCCTCGCCCCGGGCCGGGCTCTCCCTCGCCCCGGGCCGGGCCGGGCTCTCCCTCGCCCCGGGCCGGGCCCTCCCTCGCCCCGGGCCGCTGGCGCCGGCGGCCGCCGCCGCGCTCCTTCACCAGCCCCGAGCACGAACCTGCCCGGGCACCTTCCTGCCCCAGCCGCAGCAGCACGCAGGTGACAGGAGCGACCCTTCCTTCCTGCCCGCAGCGGGTAAAGCCAGGCGCCTTTGGTTCTCCAGCATCAACCAGGCATTAAATACATAACCTGTACCTGTGGTTTGGTTCCTCTAAAATTCTCTTTTCCTTTGGTTCTGTCAAGCTGTACATTTGCAGACAATAAATGAGATAAATGCATGTCTTTAAGACAAAAAAGGCATGTATGTAGTCACAACATGGTACCAGGGGGGAATGTGTAGTAATGCTCAATGAGCTAAGGAAATGGGGAATTCTTCACGTTCCACTTTGCTACTTGTCTAAACAATAGTGATAGATACCAAACAAATGCTGTATACTTATCTGTAGTTTGTATATATATATGTGCATATATATATATATATATATACACGCTTGCAGTACTATGTATCTGCTGTATACTTACAGCATATACTTAAAACAGTTAGTTACCAGAGTGCCTTGGGATGCTTACGCAGGTGTTGGATAAGTTAAATAGTAAAGGAAACAACAAAGTTTAATTCAATTACTACTCAAAATGTCACTAATAAATAAAGCAAAACAAAGTTAAAAAAAATAGGTAAGGTATAAGAGTAAAATGCACTGTCCAAGAAGCTTTGATATGAATCTTACCATAATGGAATCAAAATAATTAAATTTGATATATTTTAAAGATTAGCTTTGTCAATAATGTTTCATTTTAAAATATTATTTAAATTATTCTGGTGACCTACTTTGAAAAATGAACTTGGGTGTGATTTAAAAGTTGAGACTGGATGTCTTGGTGTTAACCAGTGTACCTACAATTTCACCAGGTTTGCATAAATGTAAATTCTATCTATAGCATAAAGACTTTACATTGAATTCTGTATGTACAATTAGTTGCCAGAGTGCCTTGGGATCCTGTGAACGCTAGAAACTGCAGCTTTGCCTGCAGCTCAGATTGTCTTTTGTACTGACAATTACAAGAGACAAGTCCACTGGAAACAGGGAAGGCTGTATTGATTACATTGGTAAAGAAGTTGCCTAGATGTACTCATGAGAAAACAATTGGGTGTCTATAGGTAGAGATCCCATCTGCCATACCTGGGAATTACTTGGAATAATTTGTCTGGTTCTTGTAGTATGGTACAATTAATAGGAAACCTAGCAGTGCTGTAAGGGCTTTGCTGTATGAAGATCTTCTGATGCCATCTCTTCTGTATTTTACAACTGCTTCTTGTACAGAATTATTATTACTTTTCTTAGTGCAAAGCTTAGTATGAATTTTGGGCTGTAATTACTTCTGTTTTCTTTAGAGCTGTGGTTTTTATTGCTGAATTTTACAGATCATAAGCACACCGCAAAGGCTGACCAGTTCAGGGAGTGTTCTGATTGGGAGTCCGTACAACGCAGCTCCGACAATGGTCACACAGACACACATAACAGAGGCTTCTGGCTGGGTCCCAGGGTAAGGCTGAGTCTCATTGAAAGATGTCTGAGCATCTCTTCTCATCTTTTCCACTATTTATACTATTGAATCTTCACTGACTTACAGTTTCTCGTTCTTGCACTACTAAATGGAGTATGGCATGTGCTTTTCAGACTGGGAGGCACTTCTGATGGAGCATGTGAACACAAATTATAAGCACCAGTCACTTCACTGTCTGCTTTAATTGTGATTTCTGACAGTGTCTGTTTTTTGGTAAAAATGGAGAGTCACAATGACTCTGTTAAAAGAAGCCTTTATTTTTCCAGAAGTCCATGGTATGTATATCTATGTAGCACTGCTGTTGAGCACAGCAGCAGGTGTCTACTGCTGTAGGGGGAGAGACTGTCAAAAACACTTCAAAAGGCATTTAAGAATAAACCCTAATAGAAAACTTTGAATATAATCAGTGTGGTATTTTTATTACTGTTCTATATTAACAAGTTTCATAGGGTTCTGAGGTGCTCCAGCCAAACATGACTCTCTTTATCTCTTCTAATTAAATCTGGTCTTTACAGTGTTTCTTGATATTTTGTTTTAATATCAGTGCTGCTGAGCTTAGCTGTCTCAAAACAGATGTAGTGATTTGCCTCTGAAAAAGTAATATTTTCTGGATCTAGATTAATTTTTCTAATCAGTGATGAATGTCAGTATTACCTTTTCAACAATAAAGGTGGGAAATTGAGCATCTAGGAAAGAGCAGAAATGAGAGTGCAATGTTTGTGCCTTGACTTTCTCCATTTTACTCTGTGAGCAAGGTCTGTCATAGGCTGTACTTCCCAATTACTCCCCAGAGAGTTAATAAACTGCAGGCCCAGCCATGCAGTTTTTAAGCTGATTTTTTTTTGCTAAGTGTTCATTTCCTGAAATACATTTTGAATGCACTTAGTTCTGATTTTATTTGAGAAAGGAGTTGTCACTTTTTTCCTGCACATTTTGTGAAATGTGGAGGCCAGACAGGTGCTCTTTCAGTACCCAGAAGAGGGACAAACTCTACTGTCTCTCACAGCTTGCTAAACCAAAGAATCGACATGCCTTGCTTTCCAAGGTGTCATCCAGTGGTGGTGATTCCCAGAGCAGCCTTGTGGCCATGCATCAAACAACACCAAGCAGCACCATCCTTCTGTTTGTGTGCTGTCCAAGTCGATACACAGGATTTCCAGTGAGCTTTATCTTTTGCTTCATCCATAATTTTAGGCTCAAGATGACTCCAGACAGACCAGTCAATAGTGATGCATGCAGAAATCCGTACAATAGGCCATATTTTAACTTGAGGAACAGAGCTATGGAAAGGTCTGTGGTATTCCTGAACTGAGGTAGCAAGCTCTTGCTGAAGAAACTTCAGAATGCTTGCTTTACCCATTGTTTACTTTACAGACTCCAAATTATTTCCAAAATGAGAGGAGCACATTCACTGGCAGGACTCAGCACAGGCTCTGGCAGCCTGGAGTGCAGAGCAGGGCACAGCTCTCGCTCACTGCTGGCCCAGGGCAGACCCCAGCCCCAGCTGCTCAGCCTCCACTTAAGCACCATGGACTGAAATCCCTTTGGTGCTGCCGAGGGAGATCACACAACCAAAGTGTGCTGGCTTTCAAGCACAGGTTTTCAAACCCATCCTTTTTGTTTTGCTTTCTTCCCAGCACTGTCAGGTGTTCAGCTGTGTAAGTCTGTGCTGGGAGCCCAGCTTTGGAAAGCACGGGGAGACAACGTTTCCCAGCTCAGTACAGCTCTTGGGCCCTGCCTTGGGTTAAGGAAAAGGTAGGGCTGGAAAAGCAGCTCCTGCTTGCTGTGGGGAATAAACTGGAGAATAAGGAATGGCCAGTGATTGCAGACTGCTGCTGCTGTTCAAAATTCGTGGCAGCTGCTTCTTCGGAGTCTGTCTTTAGCTCTGTATCCATCAGCTCTAACAGGAATATGTTTAGTGTTTTACCCTGGAGTTTTGTTTAAAGATTCCTAAACATTCACTGTCTTGAAAATATGCCTTATGCACTGTTTAAAGACATTTTTCTTACATATGTAAGAATTTTAAATAGGAATTTTCAAAGGAGTCCATCTTCTCCTTTTTGATGGACTTTGCACATCTAGCTCACACCACCACTTCCTGTAGTTCCAGATGAAGTGGCTTCCCCCAATTCCTGTGGGCAAAGCATGGTAAAATTTGGAATAACATTTTTCTGGCAGTGAGCTCCAACAACTTCCTCCACAAGTCCTAAACACCTTTCCTCAAATTCTGTCAAGCTCTGTGTGTTGTATTTTTCCCTTTCAGTAAACATGTAACAGCAAACACTAGAACCAGCTAGGCCCCATATACAGTGATTTTAGTAGTCTACAGATATAATGTTATTTTCAACTTAAGTTTGAATTGTCTTGTCTTAGGGAGCGAAAACGGACTCAAGAAATTATAGAGTCAGATTTTTCAGAAAGGTGAGTGTTGCTGAATGTGTATATTATGTATAGAGTCATACCTGCTTTACTTCAGAAATATTTGCCTTTCAGAAAGATAACTGTCCAGTTCCTCTTTCAGCAGTTTTCACTCCTTCACATCAAAGCTCTCTTGGGGTTTTTTTAGTCTGCTGGTGTTCCTTTTTACTATTTTTTGTTTCTTTTACCTGTATTCTATTTTCTTAGATGCATTCACAATTTTGAAAACCGTTATTTGTTTGTTTTTTTTAATGGTTTATTTAGTATTTTACTGCTGACTGGAGCCCTTTTTCTGTAAAATAGCAGCTCTCCATTGTCTCTTTGACAATGGAACACATTATCAAATGAAACCATGAGACTAATTAAAAAAAAAAGAAAAAATAAACAAAAACACAGCTGAACTTTTTAAAGGTTTCTATTGAATTACACATCCAGACCTAGTTTGTGTGATAAAAACAACTGCTCCTGTTTTTATCTATTACATTACCATTAGCTTTTCTGGAAGAAGGTGAATGGAAAATAACCCTGACAGTTTGCCAGTTCTTAATTTGGCACCTTAAAACCCAATAACCATGTACTTACTCTCTACAAAAGAGATCCTTGTATCTGTTCTATGATGCATACATCATAGAATAGATGTATATATGTATATATACTATGATGTATATATGTGGATATATTCTTTGATGGACACACCTTAATTCCTCTAATGACCAAGTTTAGTATCTCCTGCTGTATATTACATAGGGATGTCTGAGCCTTTCTATTTTAGGCACACACATGAGAGCTCCACATAAACATGGCTTCCAGGTATATAATCACCCTGGGAGATTTTCCTCTTTTTTCTGGTTGTTCTTTTGTGAGAATACCTGGAGATTAATTACAAATCCCTTTTAAGCATCTTCCCAGCAGCATGTGTTCAAATGCTACCAATGTAGAAATAGTCAAGGAAGGGGCTTTAGTGCACTCTTTTTGCCATCTTGTAAGAAACAAGAAACTGATGCAAAACTTTTATTGTTCATTTTGATAGTCCAGATTTCTGTTACAAAAGGTAGACCTTTTGCTGTGAAACAAAGTAGCTTATTAACATTCAATGTATTAAAATAATACTTTTCTCTTTCAGTAAGAGAAGCAAGAAAGGAGATAAAAATGGGAAGGGTCTGAGACATTTTTCAATGAAAGTTTGTGAAAAAGTTCAGCGTAAAGGAACAACTTCATACAATGAAGTCGCTGATGAGCTCGTATCAGAATTCACAACTTCTAACAGCCACCTAGCAACAGATTCAGTAAGCAAATATGTGTTGAATTTTGTCATACCAATACAGATTTGTCTGTTTTATCATGGAATACTGTTTCCGCACTGTCCTGCCACAGTCTATACTCTCCTTCACTTAACTAGTTCTCAAATATAAAGACTTACCCTTTGAAATCTAAAAATACAGAATTAAGATGAAGAATTGAACTCCCTCTAAATTATAAACAACATAGAGGAATCTGCCAAAATAATTAACTTTAAGGAAAGGCTACTCTTGTATATGTGGTCTTGTCAGGCTTTTCAATTGTGCCAGACTTGCCATGATGGAATTTTCTGTAGAGATGCTTCAGGAAGGCCTGAAGCTTCCATTTGCAACCAAACATGCCCGTGTGGTATCTAAGGGGTATCACAGATAAAAGGATCGTGGTTTAACACCACTCTGACCACAACTGCCATTTTGACATTTCAGCCATGTCTATGGAGGATGTGTTAAATTGCTTTTCCTTTTTAAATTCAATTCTCTTGTTGTAATTAGTGTTGTATTCTTTTCTTAGCAGGCTTATGATCAGAAAAATATTAGACGGAGAGTTTACGATGCCCTCAACGTCCTGATGGCAATGAACATCATTTCAAAGGAGAAGAAGGAAATCCGATGGATCGGCCTTCCTACAAACTCAGCTCAGGAATGTCAGAACCTAGAGGTAAAGGGAGGTACATGGGAAATTCTGTTTTACTCACATGCTCTGATAATTGACTTGCTCTTCTTTATAGAAGAGGGATTTTTTTTTTTTCTTAATTTGAACCTGATTAGTTTTGATGCTTGTGCACTATGGAAATACAAATTTTGATATGGGAATAAACTGAAAAAATATGTTTGTGTATGCTTAGTTCAGTTTCATTTAGTATACATTATATTTAGTTTTGGGAATAAACTGAAAAAATATGTTTGCATATGTTTAGTTCAGTTTCATTTAGTATACATTAGATTTAGTTTTTTAAAGAGCTGTTTACCTTACAAAAATGGTCATTGATTAAATCAGGGATCATTTTTAAGATTAAAGTCTGTAGTACCTTGAATTAACCAGAAGAAAGTCAAAAGAATTTATGGTTCAGTTATGCTCACAAAATTGTTTACATTTAAAATTAGACCAATTCTCTATTAATATCTATACTTGGAAATATAATTCAAAGGCAATTAAACTGAAACATAATTCCTGCTGGAATGTCAAATACTAGTTATGATCTGCCAGAGAAAGCAAGAAGTTTTACTCATCAGTTATTTCCATTATTTTTTCAGCAGGCTAAGAGTTACAGTGTTTTTTGCAGGGATGCCAGAATTTATATGCACAAATGTTGCCTGTCCTTCAGGCCAAATGTGCTATAAATAAAAAGCACAAGTCACTGTATTTACTGCAGCCTGCTGTAATGGCTGTCTGCAAATACATTTCTGTTTGTGACACTTGAACATGAGGTATCTTAAAAGGTGGGTGGGTGCCTCTGCAGTACAGAACACTGCTTTTTGTGCAGGGTCATTTACATCAATTGTCTTTCTAGATGTGGTAAGAGAAAATCTTTTACTGTCCTTTTCCATTACATCCAAGGAGAATGCATGAGTTCAATCATTATGCTCCAGGATGTTGTTTTTTTTTTTAATTCTGGATAAATCTACATTTTGCATGCATTCCTGTGAATGCATTGTCTCAGTATAGGTTATTGTTACAAATATGGAACTTGAATTTCATTGTCTTATCTTCAATAATCATATGCAATTTGCTGTTTCAGGCTCTAATTACACGTGCACAAAATGGAAGCCAGGCATATTTTTCAAAAAATGTTGTTTCCTCTGACATAATAGAAAAGAATGTAAAACAAAGCTGTATTTTCATGGTGTGAAAATCAGAATTAATTTTGCTTTTAAGGCTGTATAAAGTGGCAACTGTTCTTACAATGTGAATCTGTAATAAGATTACCAGTACAAAAATCAGTGCAAAAGAGCTCGTTATATAGAAACCATGCCTGAATGTTTGTACTGCTGACTGGTTTTAAGATCCCAGCACAGAAAGCCAACTGAAAGATGCATTTTAAACATTAAATTGTGTGAGGAGGGAACCACCACAAAGCAACCTTGTAAATAAAATAGAGGAGTTTGGGCCAGATAAGTTTTTAAAATACCACATTATTTAGTTTCAGAGCTTGAATGAAAAAGTAATTTAAGAGTTTAGTTTGGGAGTTAAGAGTTTAAGAGTTTAGTTTAATTTTGGGAGCCAGTAATACAGTGCTGGCACCAAAGAGGATGATGAGCAAAAAGCCCTTTCAGCCCCAGTAGTCCAATTCTTAAGCATTGCACCAGAGGACATTTCCACACATTGCTGCAGCTGCAGGGTCAACTCTGCCCTGTCCCAGCTGCAGCAGCTTGGCCACATCAACCTGCAGTAACTGAGCTGCTGCAAGAGCTGTGCTCCCATAGAAAATGTTACCTCTGCCCCTTTTTCTTGCTGCAGTCTTGTCAATTTAATCAAGTCTCAAACAAAAAGTGGAGGTCACTGTAAGATATAGGTGATCAGAAGCCCAGCCTCCATATATTTATGTCTAGTAGCTTGCAGCTAGAACAGTGGGACATGCACAATTCCAAAAGAGTGGAGGGCAGAAGCAAAAAAACCCCAATTCATCCCCTTGAGCAAGTGTTTGATTTGGTACCAATTTGCACACAGTGCAAGATAAAAGAGGCAGAATGGGGGGGGACATAGTAGTCTCTTGTGATAATTAAATCCTTACTGGAGTTAAAACTGTTGACAAAGGAAGACATTACAGTCTGCCAGACCTGTTTAATGGATAAACTCTTATTCCTATGCAATTTGCCTTCATTTACAAAGAACGCCTGTCCAGTTTGGCACAAGGGAATGGACAAGGTAACTAAGTATCTTGATGCATTTACATTTATCTTTTAAGATAGAAAAACAGAAGCGGATTGAAAGGATAAAACAGAAGCGAGCCCAGCTGCAAGAACTGCTACTGCAGGTATATTGAATTTTTTTTTCCCCATAAGTGAAAATATCAAGTGCAAATCAAACATGTTAGACCTTCTGAAGTTCTTTCTAGATTTAACTAACAGTTGTGACATACTAAGGAGAAAAGTTTGACCCCTGTGACATTTCTGGATTCTGGTAGAGGGACCTCTTACTGCCACTGTGGTTCAGTTTTGCCTGCTGTAAACCAGCAGACTCCACAAGCTTTCCTAAGTGTTCTGCTGAAGCTTTTCCCACCTTAGTGGGAATGAGAACAACTCACAAGTCCCCTTTGTTGACTCTTAAGTTCCCCCAGAGCTACCCTGAGTCATTTTTCAAATTTTCTCTTTGACCTAAGCTATGAAGTTCACAACTTGTGTAAATGTGTGCAGAGTTGTTTTGTATAGATATTTCTGGATCTTAAGAGTGGAAGTCTGGCAAATCCAACACCTTTACTTTCTGTCATATACCTTTGAGATTACTTTTGGCTTTAATTGCTGAAATATATTTCAAATGCATCTTGTTTATAAAGTAACATTTCATAAATATAGTTATGAGCATTCCTTAACATTCTAGTCTGTGCAGATTTTTAGTATTTAAATGTAATCAGTTTTATGAGATTACAGACAATAAGGCTACATTTTTTTGCTGATTCAACTACACTGAGACAATTTTCATGTAATTGATATTCACTGAAACTTTCAAATATCTGATGCTTCTTCTTTGTTTGTCATCAAAAGCTGTTTCTCTGCTTAGGGTGCAATTGGGATTCTATCTGTCTGACCCAATACATCAGCAGTTCCTCCAATAGTAACATAAAATTACACTAGTGAAAATAAGGCAACTTAGGCCCTCTTAACTTTTAGTCCGAATATTGACAGAGTTGACTCCCTTACTGTCTACAACTGTCATTATTGCCCTGATTATGTTGATTGCCAAAGGGTTTACCAGTCCTTTGGGATTGTGGCTATCCATCTTTTTCCCCTTAAATGAAATAAGCAGTGCCTCAGGTGGGTAAATACTGACTTCAGTCCCTCAAATAACATTTCCTAAACCCACACACTTTCATACAAGTGCAGTCAGATATAAGAAACCGGCAGGCAGAGAGTGGTGTCACAAACATCATCTGCTTAATAACTTCCAGAGGAGAATTTCCAAACTAATTCTTTTGAGAGAGAGAAGGTGATGGATGAGAAGGGAAAGAAAATAAAAATACAGATATGGGAAGTGGGGGAATTTTTGTTTCAGTGTAGCTCTCTCTTACCCTGAGGCAATTACACATAAAAAGTACCAGAGAAGACCTCTTACTCCAGAGCCTTTACAAAGGGATTGGGAAAACAGTCTCCATCAAGCCTTGCTGCTCCTTTCTTGTTTCTTCTCCAGGGAAAATGAGGGGAAGAGGGGAAACAGAGTCAATAGTATATGTGTGCAAAAAATTGGGTTTAACTTCTGCTCCTGGTGAACTTCACCAGTGCCAAGAGAAAGTAAGGCCACAACTCACTTTTTGACAAAAAATTATTGAGGTATTGATAGTTGGTAAATAAGACCTATGAGTTCCATTTCTTGGAAACACTGGTGTCTGCTGTTTTATTGACAGTGATAATTTTTTCTTTCTTTTGTTTTACAGCAAATAGCATTTAAAAACTTGGTACAAAGAAATCAGCAAAATGAACAGCAAAATCAAGGCCCTCCATCTTTGACCTCCACAATACAGCTGCCTTTCTTAATAGTCAACACTAGCAAAAGAACAATTATAGACTGCAGCATATCAAGTGATAAGTGAGTGTTTATGAAATTACTTTTTATAATTTTATTTTCTTTGTGGACTAGAATTTTTCCTCAAACAAATGAGGGAAATTGTTCTAGTTTACTAGAAGTAATTATTGCATTTACATTTGCAACTGTCACTTCAAGGGGTTGCTTGTTTTTTTCAATATTTAATGCAACTGGAGTAATAATATGGATGAGTTTATTAACACTAGTTAAAACAGGCTGACTTTCATTTGTAAAAGGCACTTCAGGCTGACATTTCAAAGAGCATTCCCTGCACAGAAGAAATAACTATTATGAAGTTATTATTATTAAGAAATAACTGAATGAAACTATTTACTAGGACAGCACTACCTTTTAAAGCAGCCATGTGAATTCTTCTTCTTAGTATGCCATTAAAATGCACAGTCAGAAACACAAAGTTACCCATGTGACACAAAAGTAACATACTCCAGGTGATGATAACAACTTTGAAAGCAGCAAAAAGTTCTTTGAAGGAAAAGATACAGAAATTTGTGATACTGTCTGAGCAAACTGCTACAATTGCATTCACATTAATCTGAAAAATCTTCCAGTTATATAATTGTGGGTGCTTGTGCTCTTCATCCTGTGAAAATATGGCTGAAGTTTGAGGTGCTGTTACGTTAATTGGTAATCAGCTCACAATCAGTTTATTAGCTGAAAATAGCTGGCTTTGCTCTAATACTGTAGATTACAGATTTCACTCTGTGCTATGCAAATCCTGTACTGAACTTCAAGTCAATCACACAGCAAAAATAGACAGACTCTAGTAACCCATGCACCAGCATGCAAAGCAGCAATACTATTAAAAGTTGAATTTTTGTAGAAAATTAGACTGAAGTCCAATGTATTCTGTCACAAAACTTGTGGAATACTCTCATGAGCACTGCAGTTCAGCAAATTGGGAATTTTACGATCATTTTTGATTTAGCATAGTCATACTTTTATTCTATAGTCTCACTATAGAGGTCTTCCTGCTCTTTTAAACATTTAGGTTTGAAGTTGTTAGAAAGTTGAGCAGTTTCATACTGAAACTTCAGAGCTGTGGCTTTGAGTAATCAGAGATTAATCTGGCATTTGGGATCCAGAGCAGTGTAACACACTTCTATGCTCTCCAACTGTGTGAAAACACTCCTACTAAAAGTGAGCACATCAAAATTACTGAAGTTGTTGATACTTCAATTTATATAACTCAGCTTTGGTAGTATGTCACCTGGAGGTCATTAAGTGTACAACCCAAATTAAGCCAGCTTTCCACTGGGATTATTATTTGTGCAACTAATTAGTGGCAGCAGTAATAGGTAAACAGTGCCAGAAACTGCTCTAACTGTTACACTGATCTGCTAAATAATGCAGTTAGCAAAGGTGGTGACTTGGTTTGAAGAATTCCCAGTTTGTAGTTAATTGGAGAGTATTTGTGCTGCTTGACTCCATCACTGGTCGGCTTGAGGGCTTGCTCTGCACTTGGTTCCAGACTGAAAGCCACTTTTTAAAGGGCTTCCATTTTCCTTTCTTCTCCAAATAACATTTGTATGAAGTACTGATGTTAGTAAGTCAAATGAAGAGCTAAGCTCACAGCATTAGCTACTCAAAATTGTATTTACAGAAAAACTCCTAAAAGAAAGTAATTGCTTGAAAATGTTATATGTATAAGAGTGATATAGTATCAGAAGGAAAATAGGTTTGTGTCCTCTAAGCATTTTCCTGTGCAAAATCAGCCAAAACAGAGTGAAATGTCTCACAAATATTTTTTTTTTTAAATTTTTAAAAAGAGAGAGTATTGGGCAAGTTTTGCTTAGAGTTTGAGAACGTACATGAGTGCCAAGCAGCATGCTGGGAATGGCATTTCTGAAGTTGGAGTAGGAAAAGCAAAGTCTTCAGGTAAAAAGGAAATAGTTAAGAACTCATTTTAAAGATGAGGCACCTGAATGAGTAAGTCCCATATAAACAGGAAAAATTTATTTAGTGTATGTGGTACTTCTGTATAAATGCTGTTGGTCCTAGGAAAAAGAAAGAAAAAGTAACCAGAATACCTTGTTTTAAACAAGCATTTATTCACAACAGATGTATCAGAAACTTGGAAAATTGGAACATCTCAAAGGGGAAATGCAGAAGATTGTGTACAACACTGGAGATACAATGCTGTATATTAGTAAGAACATGTAGGAAGTGGCCACTTGTACCACTACAGACAGAACTGCCTCTAGAAGCAGAAAATCCAGATTAAAATCATTGGTGAATTTGTACTTAGCATGGGAAAGGGACTGGAAGTGTACCCAAATTTTGCATACACAGTATTAATAGCCTCTGGCCCTGGCTTGTAGTACTGAATAACAACATGGTAGCCCAGTAGATAATTCCTGTGAGAACAAAAATTGATTTCTCAGTAACAGCTGAAATTGTGCTGGGAATTACTAGGAAAAACAGTAAGGACTACAATGTAAAGCATGCAGAGCCAATGCATACAGTGCTTTATATCTGGAATACTACACACTCTCATGTTCTTGGAAAAAGTATGGCATAACCAAGAGAGACACAGGAAGGCAGCAAGAAGGTCGGAGGCTGTGGAAAGGCTTTGACAGAAGGAACAGATGGGCTTCTTGGCCTGGAAAGGAGAGGACAGAGGACAGGGGGTTCCCAGGTGTCTCAAAAATAATGAGTGATATGGCAAACGTGCATAGAGAATAGCTGCATACAGCTGCTTATTAAATTGAGAGACATTAAGAGAAGATAACAGGTGATGACAAAAAGAAGGTTTCTACTACTGTATGCAAGTAGTAAAAGATTACATAAGTTCAGAAGGGGGTCATGTCAAAAGAAAGAAAATCCTCAAAAAGTTTTTAACAGCAAAATAGAAGAATTGTAGGGATTTCCTGTATCAGTGACTGCAGACTTCCAGAAACTAAACTGGAGAAACACTGAAGACTGTAAATTTCTCCATGTGTAAATTTGGTGGGAAAGGAAAATAAGTTACCTTCCTTTCTAATAGCCAGTATTTGGCCACAGCACATGGGAGAAGTGCAGAGCTATCAATAAATGCAGCTTTTGATCCTGTGCCATAAATTGGAATTGAGTTATGAGTCAGTAATTACAGCTTGCTGGTAATTGCTTGGTATGACACCAAGCTGTGCCAGTTTAGGCAGCAGCAATGTAATTGTACTGGTTGAAATTATAACAACGCATCTTATTTTCCCTCTTAATGTGATTATGTTGAAATAAATAAAGGTACATAAACAATAAGTTTAACAAGTAATATGGTATGAGTCACAAAAGAAATGCTGTGTGTAACTGACAATTATACTCAGCACAAAGCATTAGATTACCAATGAAAAATTGTGTGTATAAACTCAAGAGCTGTAAAGTTTCCATGTTTCCTGGTTCAGATATAAGAAAATAAGTATTATAAAACAACCTAGCAAGCAAATTGACATGGACATGAGCTTGGAGAGATAATGGAAGACCCACCATGAGTTATCTTTTAAAGACTGTATCTCACAGATGAGTTGCTTTTCCAAGGATAAAGGTTTTGTCAGCAGGAAAGGAGGTACTGAGAACTAAGCCTTATTTTACAGACCAGAAGTGTCCAGGCTTTTAATACCTGTGATGACAGTGTAAGACCAGCCTAAATTCCCCTGCATTTCTTAAAGCTGTCTTGCAGTTAAAAACATTTTGACAGTCCTGCAGCAGAAACGGTGGGTTGTGAACACACAATACTCTGAACAGACTGCTTTTCTAGCTGCATCCAAAAAAGCAAAATTGTACCAAAGTAAATAGGTCAGTTCACAGGAGGAGTGTTGCACATTAGAACAGAAAGTGAAATGTAAAAGCAGAAAAACAAAATAGTTATTTTGGTGGCAGGGGTTCAGGTGACCTTACTGGCTTTAGTGCAAATGAAGGTTCATGTTTAATTAAGGCCTCCCTCTTCCCCTTTGAATCTATTTAATGAGGTAGAAAATTTTAAATTTTGTTCCTTCACTGGTGAAGTTACTTTAATTGAGAATGTGCCATTTTAAACCTGTAGGCATGCCAGTCACAGAAAAGAGAAAGCATTTCTTGCACTTCTCTTTCCTTAAGGACCCTTTACAGAAAACCAGGACTCCAGATGCTTACCTTAGTACATGCCAAAACTGCCAGAGAAAGAACAGGCAAGAAGAGCGCAGCTGTGCTCTTTCAGAATCATCTCACTTTTAATTTTTTATATGCAGATTTGAATACCTCTTTAATTTTGATAATACTTTTGAGATTCATGATGACAGCGAGGTGCTAAAGAGAATGGGAATGTCCTTTGGGCTCGAAGCAGGCAAATGCTCAGCTGAGGACCTAAGAACTGCAAAGTCACTGGTGCCAAAAGCTTTAGAAGGCTACATCACAGGTAAGTTAAATATTGTTCCTGATCAAATCCATAACCTTACTTAACTGAAGCAAATTTAATTATATTATGTATGTAAATTTCAGGGTTTGTGGCACTTAGTAGGGTTGGTACATGAACCAGTTGTTTTACTTTTAATTTTGGAAGGTTTTTCTTGTTGTCCTGTTGACTTAATGCACACTGATTTATAACAGTGTGATGTGTGAGCTGCATTTTGAAGAAATGATTTCTTAAATAACTAAGTTGACAGCAAGAACAAATGTGTTAGTGTTAATTTTGAGTAACTGAATGTATGGAGGAGCAAACTGGAAGAAGGCAGCTCTTCCCAAACTGAGGAAAAGGAAAGAAAAAGAGCATCTTGATCTGGTTGGGTGTAATCCCTCAGGAGCCAGCAGGTGCCACCTGAGAACTAAGCTTCTCTAAATAAAGCAAGTCCAGACTCGAGGACAGGTGTCCCAGGCAGAGGCTTTTACCTCCCATGTTTGAACAGGCTGTGCTTAGACACAAGACTAGAACTCCTTCAGTGTTGCATCACTGGACTAGAGCTGGCACAATTTGCTCTCACTTCCTGTAGTTATTGTCAGTGTGTTTTTCTTGCTGCACCCACAGGTTAAACTTAGCCCAGCATTTTCTCAAGTTTCTGAAGGGACTTCATCTGTAAAGGAAGTGTTACCCGATTAATTAATGTGTACATACCTTTGTTTTTGAGGAAAGGAAATGAAGCTCTTGCCCTAACTTCTCCATTACTATATATAAATTAGAATTCAGTTATATTTGATAAAAGTAGTACATTTTAAATGGCTTAACATATCAAACTACATCAGATGTGCTTATGTTTATCAATACTTATTTGTGTTTTCCTGGTCCTCTTGTCCTGTGGGTTTTAAAACTAAGATTTTGTATTTTATTTTTGGTCAATTTTGAAATTGCACCTGAAGTCTTTATAAAATGGCATTCTCAACAAAAAGAGAAGTTGAAAGAAATCTTGATTTGTTCCTCACAGGTTCATTCAACTCAACATTATTTATCAGCATGTGATTTGTCAGCAGTGTAAAAAAGGGGAAAGGAGCAGAACCCGTGTCTTTTAATAGTTTTGGGATGTTGAAGTTACTTAATTGCTTCCATGTATTGAGGATCAAACTAAAGTTTCTTTTTCATTTTAAGCCTGCATTAATTTACCTGCCCTGTGTCATGACCTGTTTATTGAGTACTTCCTTATAGCAAACCAGCAGCCTGGAACCTATATAGAGTTTTAATCATAGGAAATGCATTGATTTTATTTTTTACTCAAAAATCATTAAAGCAAGTAATGTACCCTTCATATATGGATTACATTCAGCTGTTTCAGCCTCTGTAAAAATTAGCTCAGAGGTATTCCTCCTAGTATATATATTTAAAAAAAAATATGTACTTTAATTTACATACCAGTGCATGTATTAAATGTTTATTCTATTATTGCTTATTATATAATTGTGCTACAGAAATCGACAGTTAAAGATTATGAATTGCATAGTGGTGGTTTCTAATTGTAGTAAATGACCAATAAAGGAAAGAGATTTAAATGTTTTGTACAATATTTGAAAAGCCAGCATCTGCCTGATTACATATTTTTTGTTATCTTCCCATTTTAACCTTGGGAGTCTTTAGACATTTTGTTATACAGCAAGAGTAGGGAAATAAAAGGGTCATCACTGGTTTCTAGAATTCATGGTAACTTCTACATTGTCATGATGGTTCTTCCAAGAACCATGGCTTCAGTTACTACTATACAGGAAAACCAGATCCAGGTCTCTTATTTATTCACTGAGTAAATACACTGCAATCAAGAGTCAGTAGCTGACTCTATGGACAACTGCTCTAGAAGCCAGTCCAGTCCTAATACGTCCAAGTAGGTGTTCCTGTTAGTGCATTGACAGGAACAATGTTAGTTTGACCTTAGCCTGGACATTTTTTTCAGATAATTCCTGATTTCCAAACACTAACAATAGTTTGCACTAAAATGCTTACCAGTAGGACTAGAAAAGCAGGAAGAATCCTAAGTCTAAACCAGTTCAACTAAAGAAACTTTAACTTGACAAAAAATATTGGACCATCTCAGTTTTGAAAAGCGGTAACTTTCTATTTGCATTGAACAGCCACATAAATTGCTTGGAACTGCTGAACTGATGATGTGCACATCAAAGCTTTGTTGGTGAATTTTCTTTTGAAGTATCATGTGTTTTAGCCATTCTTCAAGTGCCCAAATTTCATAAAAGTAGTATCTTCTAGGTTTGCTAGTTTCACAGTATTTGAGCAAATAAATGTATTTTTGTAATATGCATTTTAAATACTTCATTGGTGTGATCCCCAGCTATGACTGCCACTGAAATCAGATGAAGCTTAGGCATATTGACCTCATAGAGGAAAAGATTCTGTTTATCTTACGTTATTTCTGTAACACACTTTTCTGTTGTTTGACTGTCATAACTGACAATCTCTAAAACATGAGACTTGCACTGGCTTAAGAGGACATCCCAAGGACACATCCTAATTATACATTCCTGCTCATTTCTGCATTTTGACCCAGGTGCTTTCCCGTGTGCTCTCCCTGAGCAGGTTCCTGGTGCTAAGGTCCGGGCTTTGTCTGGCAGAGGAGTTTGCAACAAGGAAACAAGTAGAACTATGTAGCAAAGGGCAGAAGAGCTCAAGTGGGAAGGAGGGAGTGAGGCTGCCTGGCGAGCAGAAATACTCCACTGCCTGGGGCAAGCATAAACTCGTAGAACATCAGCCAGAGTAATATCTCCCTTGGGCTGTGCACATCCTAAAGGCACTTAACACACAACCAAGTCCCACCCTTGAGTCATGGCTACTAGACACGAGGCTGCAGATTTAAAAGGAAAAAAAAAATAGCAGGAAATAAGATTTCTGAGGCACTAACAGTTAGGATAACAACATCTCACCTTATGTCTCCCAGTAAGGCAGTGAGCAAAGGGGTGCAGTTTAGGACTTGTTTTTTTCCCTGTGTGAAGAAGTGCTCTGCTGTTTATCTGTATAATTATCCATGACTAGAAAATGGGCTGGAGTTGGAACTAAAGAGCTAAGAGCAGCCACTGCCTGAGCAAGTTTGTTCAGATGTAAACAACACTCCCATGCAGCATTTGTACATTAACTGTAAAGCTATCGAGGGTATTGCTTTAGAGCCTTCTCAAATGAAGTATAAGTTTCTACCAGGTGTATCTGCTACAAGTATGCCTAGTACATAACAATGTTGGGAAGGTTTGTTCAAACTGCTTTCCCTGGTTTTAAGTGTAGCTATTAGTAATTGATCTACACAGCCAGAAGAAATAAGTATTTTCATTGTAGGCACACTTCTATTTTGACAGACTTTTCCATACTGGAAATGGCTTAATTCCCTATCTTTCACAAACTTCTTATCCCTTGCTCCTCAGAGCCCACTGGAAAATTGAATTTAGAAATATAAAGCAATGAAAATACAAGGCAGGGATATGTTTTTATGCATCACCTTTCTGCCATGCTTCTACTTTGTTCTTCAAAAAGAAAACTAAGGAGCTATTATCCAGAAGTCTTAATAAACCACAAGATTACTTGCAGTGTCTTGTTATTCTTCTGAAATATTAAACATGTACACACAGGTACACTCCTTCAAAATACCAGGGAGCAACAATTTGGTACAGCTCTATTAGTCTAAATACAATGCAATCATTGTAAATTATTTAGCCTCCTGCACAGACAGGAGGAAGCTGTGAGAACATGTTCTCTGTAACATGAAATCTGCATTTCGGACAATCTTGATGCAAGACATCAAGCTCCATCTACATTTAATTGTTCTCATCTATTCTGTCCTCACAGATCACCCTAAAACTGCCACTTACCAAGGTTTGCTATCATGTTCCAAGGACTGCTGCCAGGAACACCACCCTTGCTAGCCTGGCTTTGTACCACGACATTTAAATACCTTGCTGCAACAGCTTTCCACAGCACAAACCAAAGTAGCCTGTGGATCCATCCCAGTGGATGTTGAGCCAATTTACATGGCTGCATCAACCTGCTTCAAAAACAGTCCCTGTACTAGGCAGCATTGCTAAATCTAGAGGAACCAAAGCTTGACAAGAACACTGAAGGACAAATGAAAATGTGTATGTAACAACCACAGTTATTCCTTTTACCTGATGTTACAGAACAATTCTAGATAATTATGAGTAGTACAGTCCCAGTGTGCTGTCTAAAACAGAGGCTTAGTTAGACATAGAATTTAAGAGTAAGGACTCTGATTTCTAATTTAATGTATCCAGCTGGAACCACTTGCAAGTACCATGGAAAAGAACTAGGCAGTCTTGGTAACTTTGTTTTGATATTAACTTTGTGTCAAGATAGAATTTGAGTAGGTGAATAGAAATGTCTTATCTAAGAAACAAATTAAAAACACACACACCAAAAACAAACAAATCCCATAAATGTAATTGGGTCAGTAGACTGGTTTTGGTGATTCTCTAGGCAGAAATGTGTGTAACTGGAAACAACTGACAGGCATAACTTGTTAGGGAATTTGAAAACAAGTACCCTGGGGCTTGTAAGTAACTTCTTCACATCTCTCAGGGGACTTTTAACAAACTACCTAAAGAAACTTGGCATTATTGCCAGACCATTTTAATGGTTTTAACCCCACCATTTCCTATCCCTAGGGACGAGAGTGCCTTTCATGTCTCATGTGCAGTGTACAGCAGGCTCTGTCTTCCATTCTTGGCACCAGCCCTTTGCCATGGTCTGTGCATGTCCACAGCCAGCCATGAGAGCACCAGCTGAAACTGCCTTTGGCCACCGAAACACACACAGTGACACAGAGACTGCCTGGGTGGCTTCACTGCACTGTCTCAAACCCAAATAAATACAATTCCTTTTGTACCTTCATCACGTTGGGCAGCCAAGGCACTTGGAGCTGTCCGGGCATTTCACAGGGTCAGGCTGTGGCAGTAAGTTTCCATGAAGGACTCCAGAACTCTTATTTCAGATAGCTGTGATTGCACACAGCCACCGGCCAGGCTAACCTTCTTCAGACAGAGAGAAAAGCTGGGTGCAAGGCTTAAGTGCATCCACAAACACAGGATATAATTTTATCATGATTAAACACGACATAGCTACAGTGTAAAACTTTCTAAACTAAATTAAGGGAAACTAACGACAAAGAGAATGCAAAGTTTAAAATTGTAAAAGGAAGAAAAAATGTAAGTAACTACCATAAATAGTTATGTTTTCTTCTAGATATGTCTGCAGGATTTTCCTGGATAAACCAAGGGTTACTTTCAAGTTCAGCACAAGCAGTTTCCCATTTTGAGGCAGCTGGAGGCACTTATGATGCTAAATCAAGGTAAATAAAATAATTTTTATTCAAGGATAGTTATATATGCTTGTGGTACTTTAGTAACCTTGCTATTTCATACAATTTGCATGCAGGAATTGAGATATTATCATGGCTGATTTTGATTGTAAAAAAGTCTCTGTCTTCCTTGAAGGAAAATGATATTTGAAAGGTCAAATCAACATGCTTTGAACATTGAACAGCTATTTTGTACCTATGTTTCATAATAGAATCTCTTTCAAGCCCATTTTCCTGATTAACCTTAAATTCCTGCCTGGGCATGGACTACAGAAAGATAATTACATGTGGAGAAAAGCCCAGTATGATTTCTGAAGAATGCATAAGAATGTCTGCTCTCTAAATGCACTACTATTTAAGCACTCATGAAAGAAGTTTAGTCCACACAACTTAATAAGAGTTTTAAATTAAAGACTAACAACCAAACAAAAAACCACCATGTGCAAACTCCAACCTTAAATACACCTCAGCAGCCAGACTTTGCTTGGAGGTTACCTGTACCATAAGAAAATGGAAATAGGGATTATTATAGGGATTATTATTTTGGAGCAGGTTCTTTCTCATAGCATTTAATAGCTTCATTTTATATTGCAAACATTTCTGTATATTAATGAAACTGTCATGGATTTCCTTTTTTTTTCTTCAGCTTAAGCAATTCTACTAGTTCTTTATGAAAAAAAAAGGAAGTGACCCAATATTCTTTTCTATGCAACTTTCCAACGTTTTAGCAACTCTCCTAACTAATAGCTGTGTTTACTGTAACACTTCGGGTTTTTTCCTTGTTCATTTCTTCGACTAAAGGAAAAGCTGAGGCCAAAAAGAAAAAGCTTAAAACCTCATGGGAAACCCTCTAAAATTCACCCTTTCTGTTGTCTTGCTAGTGAGAATCCAGGGTTGTGTTTGGATGCTGAAGTGGCCTTAGCAACTGGGCAGCTGCTTGCCCCTAGCAGTCAGCAGTCCAGCAGTGCAGCGTCCCGGGGGGAGACGCCCTGCTCCTTCAACGAGGAAGACGAAGAGGATGAAGATGAGGATTCTTCCTCCCCAGAATGAGGACAGTAGAAAATGGAATATACAAAATGCTGCTCAAATATTCCTAATGGGAGTTCCTGTTTGGATTTTACTGGTTTCTTGCCTTGGTTTCCACTGCGTTTGGTGAACCAAAATGGAAGCTTCAAAACAAGTTTATCCATAGCTGAAATTGAAGAATTGTGTAACTGAACACAGAGTGATATGCAGAGACAGAGCAAAGTTGGTTTTATAAACTAATGAGGAAAATAACAAAGTCCCTGGAGATTTGGCAAAGTACACCTTAAGATCATCTTTTCTGTTTTGGGACTCAAATCTTTGTCTTCCCCTTGTCTTTTTCAGATGGAGAAGAAAACAGTCAGTCAGTAAAAGCCAATTCTTGTGTTGTCTTTTGGCTGTGCTGCCTTTAGAAAAAGGGGGAGAGAGAGCACACGCAAATGTGCTAAAATCGTTATTTAAAACTATCTTGTATGAAAGTGGTTATAGGGAAAAGGGGCTGTTAAAATGTTTGCTTTTTTCTGTTCAACTTGCTGTATAGAAGATTCTTAAAGTAATATAAATTGCAAGTGATTAAATGAATCTTGAAATAGTTTATATCCATTTTAGATACTCTAAAATAACAAGTAACATTAGTATAAAAGGTTCATATGTTCATTTATATTGCAGGCCTAATTTATTATAAGTGATTATTCTTAGCCATTATTAAAACAGTCAGGAAAAAAACAGTATTCTCTGCACCAGCTTTTTTCATGGAAAATAAGTAAAAAAATTGTATTTCTAGATTACAGCATATTCAGTGTAGCTTCTCCTTTACTTTATCCCTTTGATAGTAGAGCATGTCTTGTTTTTTTGAAAAAGGTCTCCCACCATGTTAAGGATCTCAGGCAGTGTGTTTTCAAGACAGTCTTGAAATTTGGAGTGGGTGGGTAGGTCACATAACTTTTAAAGTCATAGGCTGAGGTTCTTAGGGAAAAAAATTCAACAATACATCATTTAATGTTTTGCAATCTGGTCAGCTTGGATTCTGACAGACTTTCTTATCAGTAACTTAAGTATCAGTATCAGTAGCACTCACCTTGATGCACCTTTGAAAGTTGTCTCAAACCACATAAAATAATCTGTGGCTCAAGTTACCCAACACATATCCTATGTGAACTGTTAAATTAGACTTGCAGCAGGAGGCTGTTTTCCACAGCTAATATCACATCCAATCATAAAGACCTTTTAAAAAAAACCCAAAACCTTGAATATCAATGCAAAATACACTGTAGATGTACTCTTCCCATGGCGTTGCAGTGTCCAGGACTTTGCCTAGCCTCTAAGTTAACTATTTCTCATGAGGAAAATCTTTCCCGTTTTCCCGCTGTCTGTAGGTGGTTGCCCGGTGTCCCAGCTGTCTGAGGCAGCTGTCCTGGCTCTGTTCCTGTGCCAGGGGATGAGGCAGCTTGTGCTGCTGCTCTCCTGAGCAATGGCAGCATCACTCTCACAGCCTGAGCTCTGTCCACATCATCTTTTGCAGCCAAACCTGCACTCACTCAGGCCAGCAAGATCCAAAAGCATCAAGGCTGAGCTACAGAGAGAAAAATGAGGCTCCAGCTCAAGAGCTGCCTGGCCGTGTGCAGAGTTAGCCCAGGGCTGGCTGCTCGCAGGACAGATAAAACTGTGAGGAGTAGACAAGCACCACCCCCACGTTTACATTACAAATGGAAGCATCCAGATAGAAACTTCTCACAGATAGTTCAAACTCCTGCACCTGACTGAGCTATCTGTTTTACACAATTGAATAGCAAATGCACAAACTAAAATGCCTGCTGTGGTATTCACCCCTGGAGCAAGACTGTTAAGACCATCCTGTCCTCATGGCTCACAGGCAACAGCAGACTGAGGGCTTTACACACCCTCACTTCCACAAATCTGTAACACTATCTCCATACCAGAAAAGCTTTACAGATACAAGCAGATATTCTTGCTGAGAGAGTCAGAGCGTTGAGCCAAGTGACTCATTTTTGAAATGGCGGGAGAAGGGAAAAGGTACTTCACACATATTACTATGGAATTGTCAGCTTCATGATTGACATTTCATTTAAACAGATCATCACTTTCATTCTTAAAAAACCCATTGCTTTTTCCAAAATGCCCTGTCAGTAAGCTTTCATTGGAAAGGACAGATCAAAAGTAACTTTTATATGCATGATCCTAAGGAATACTTTATGAGGGAAATATTTTCCAAAGTATTTATACCTCCCTCTCCCCAACAATACATTAACATTACACTTTCTTCACACTTCCCACTCAAGATCTGTGTAAAAAGTAAAAACAGCAAAACACTAAACAGTTCCTAAAGAGAAGCACTTTGAACTATAAGAACCTGGCAAAAAAGGCTTCCCACCCAGGAATAGAATGTATTTTATTAGTAGTCAGTGGGCTTTCTGCTTTACAGAGGGAAGATCTTCAGTGACACCTTTCCTCCACTGATGTCTGTGCCCTTCAAAGCTGCAGCCTGCACAGCTGCTTGCTTTCTGGCAAACATCAAACTATCAAATAAATAAAGATAAAAAATAAAAAATATTGGAGCAAATAACATTTATTTGACAGTTGAACCAAGGCTTTAAAAGTTATTTTTCCTGGACTAGTTGAATACAAAGGACAAAACAAGTTAGAACATTAGAAGAGACTTCAAAAGTAAATTCTTTACTTGGGCATCCCTTGTGCCAAGTAGCAGTTGAGGATGAAGTTCAGCTGAAGCTCTGCAGTCTTGTGGCTACACTAAAGTCTAAGAACTAAGAGAATTTGGGGCCTTATCCAGCAATAGTCACCTGTGTATGGTCTCAGGCAAACTTTTCCATCATTCCTGATGATCTTAGCTGCCATATTTTAAAAAAGACACAAAAACTGCAAACCAAAACAGGTAAATGCAAGACCTCACCAAAGGCAGCTGCTGCAATTGTGAGTAATAAGGGGGTTGAGAATATTAACAAACCACAGAGCTCTCACTGAGCTCGTGGCAGTGCTTACACTCAGCTGCTTCAGCACACAGGCCCTCCCTCCTGCTGAGAGCCCAGCAAATGCTTTCCACAAGAAAATGGTCATGACCAAGACTGGCTTCCCCATTTTCTCTTCAGTTCCCTCATAATCTCCTGCCTCATGCAATACCCCTGACATTCGCTGACTGGAATAAAGCAGCAACTGGTACTAGATCATACTTTGGGTTTTTTTGGGGTTTTTTTTGTAAATTTTCATGCAATTTATATTTAAGATAAATTTATGTGAAGTTTCTGTGTCTTGAACACTCTCTCTTGGTTATACATTCAGGAGGCACTTGACTGCAAGCAATATAATGCTGTATGTAAATGCCTTTATAGCTATAGTGTAGTAAACAACTTTATTTCTGGACTAACTTTGTGGTGCTTGAAAAATCTAAATTTGACTTAGAAAAAGTTGTCAGCTCCACTATCTAGATTAAAAACTCCAAGTGGGATTCAGCATTTTTCTATTATATGGAAATCTGACGCAATGTTTGTGGATTTGGGTATTTAAAATTGTATTAAAGCGCACCAGTCTTCTCATTTCCACATTGGAATTAATGCCAACAGTCCCCCTAATCTTAGAAAGTGTGTGTATCTAACAAATAAGATCAGCTCAACTGAAGGTATGACTTAAAGTAACACCATAAACCCAGTAAAAGCTGCTGTAGGTGTTTGAATTTTGGTTAGGGGGTTTTAATTTTTAAACTACAGCTTGCAAATAGCCCTAAATCCTTTTGAGTGGCTAGAAATTGCTGAGGATACAGAATTCCCAGAGAAGGGCTTCTGTTGGTCAACTATATCAGCCTGAAGTAATATTATGTAAAAAGGCCTAATAACCAAATTTTAACCCTGCTGTTTCTTAAAGAAAAATGAGGCCTTCAAGTACATGTTCATACACGAAATGATGCTTGAATATAGAATTCCACAGTTAAGGTTTAAAATTTCAAGTGCTCTTTCTTTTGACCAAATCCACCACTCCAATTTAAGAGTATGGCTAAAACTTGACCATATTTGAACTCTGGGCAGTACTCATTTTTGTAGTTAACTGGCCCTTTTTAGCTGAAAATAATCCAGGCAGTTGATTGTAAAGACTTTCCTTTTAGCTAATTAAAGATGTTTGGGGTTTGGATTCATTTAAAATGAAAGCTAGTACCACAGGGTACAGTATAGAGAAACAAACCAAAGCAAGCTATCTTCTGCTTGACTCACCTCAGTTATATCTTATCATTCCAGGAATCTCTCAGGAACATCATTATATTAAATAACCAGATGTAATGAGCTGGGGAAAGACTATGTATGCTTTTTTAATTTTTGATTTTAAAAATTCTACTAATAGCCATACTTTGAGGTGACATCCTTCTGCTGCAGTTGGGTCACTCTGAGGCTGAAGGTGTCCCAGGTGTCAGCACTGGGAAGTGGTGCCTCTTGCAGCAGTAGTGATGAACAGGGGAGGGAGAAGCCAAGGACCTGTTTATGGAGGTTTGTTTAAAAGTGTGCCACTTCTTGAATTCTGGCCTCTGTCTGCAAGCAATGCACCAATGAATCATTTGTGATGTTGTGGACATCACACACCTACCTGAGCACATGGAAAGCTCCAAGTACTTAATTTTCTACTGGCAGGTGTTCGCACAACCCAATCCTGATACCATAAAACTTCATGAAACTCATTCCTTAGACTTAACAAAGTTCCCAAAGCAGATTATCTCTTTCCTTTTTAACTGTTAGAATTTTGTCTGGTGAGTATTTTTAAGAGACTGTGAATAACTTTTCTCTCCCCAGTCCAGGTATATTGCCAAAAAATACCCATAACCAGTGTTGATCCCAATTGTTCATTCCATCTGCAAACGATTATTGTCCTTCCAGGTCACTGCTGAGCTGCATGTGCAAGAGCCCCCCCAGCTCCTTCAGTCTGGGTGCCTGAGGTGGCATCCATGAATCCCTCCCCAGCTGGCACTGGACAGGGAGGGGAGGGAGTGCTCATTACAGCAGCCTGGCAGTAACAACTGCAAGGACTCTTTATCTCAGCCATATAGCCACTCTCCACCTTTAACACTACCTTGCCTGCCCACCCAGAGATCAGACAAAACCCAAATGTTTTCTTTTCTGCTTCCATATATTTGACAGTACTGAAGAGTCCAATATTTAGGATATCCACCTAAACTGTAGGACGCCAAAAATCCTTGCTCAAAATTGGTCAGAAGTAACATCTGAGATGTAACCATCCAAATCCCAAGGGAAAGCCTCCTACTTAGGACCAATATGGAGCAAATAAATACTTTTGCATTTGTTTAAGAAGAAAAGCAGACTAACCTGGGTCAGGTCAGTCTCTGTAACAGAGCCATGATCATTCCAAGCAGATACAGGAACCTCCCAGTAGCCCAAGCTTGCATCTCTTCTTCATCTTCTGTATTGGCTAGAAAAGTGCAATCACCTAAATCTGATTTCGCTAAATGCCATTCTTAAGTACTCAACTTTCTCCAGGCATAGGTACTTTAGATATATGGACAGCATGGGATAGCAAGATACAGCAATGTCAAATTTAAACCCAGTTGTAGATGCAAATCAAACTCATCTATGCAGAAACTTTCCAAAACAAATTGAGTCTTTATTGGTGGGTTGGTTTTAGCCTATTCTCCTCTCCAGGCTGAGAGAGGAGAATGCCTCACACTGCCTGGTTCCCGTGCTGCCCACCCACACAAGCCAGGCAGCCAGAGAGGGAAGAACATCACATATCCACAGCTCTTCCTGCTGACATTTTCAGGTCACATACAACTATTCTGAATGGCCACAAAAGTTAAAACTATTAGAAAAGGTTAAGTCCACAAAACCAGTCTCCAGGCTTTTTGATGGGTTTGTTAAATTGCTATTGAAACTTTAACAAATAGTAGATTTGGTTGTACTAATTTAGGGATTAAGTGGATCTCCTGGAATTTCCCCAGGAAAACATTGGCTGAATCATAACCTATCATACAAGTTTCTGAAACGTTCCCTTGTCCTAAAGGCCATGCTGTATACATGAAAAATACTTCAGAGAAGCATATGCAAATGTTATGACACTGCCTCTCACAAGCACCTACTGTAAAAAATGAATCCTACTTTGAATGAACATGTAAGAAGTAGGATGTGAGCCTGTCCTCATTCCTCAGGCCCTGACTGCAAACCATGCCCTGGGACCAAGGCACAAGCTTTGTATTTGCATATCCTACTCAGCATCAGGAAACACTGGCCAGCAAGCACAGGCAGAGTTTTACAGCAGGACTTGTTTGCTGGCACCTGGGGGATGATCTGGCAGTGGATGAGCCCTTGGCAAGGAGGACTGATTCATGAATTCTGAATGCTGATGTGCCATCAGCCCATGTTCTGAAGCTGCTGTGACATGCAGCAAGGGGTAGAAAAGGCAGGTCTGGCCCTCCTCCCCCCTTTACAGTAGCACATTTTAATATACACTATATTCTACATGGAAGTAATTGTAGGGATGCTTCCTTTTTATATTTAAAATTCAGAAACAACTTGAAAGTCCATTAACTTTTAAATTAAACTTTTTAATAACAAGGCCAGTCATGGACAAAGCTATTTAATGACCTCAATGCTGAACTCAAAGCAGGGTTTTGTAAACATGGTAGGTGGGACGAGACAAATCCAATTACAAGCATGCTAATTATATGGGATTTGAAGTTTTAATTAATTTTTTTAATCTACTCATCTTTCTCTCCCAAGATGTGTATTGGCACGGAGCATCACACAAACACTTTGGTGTTTTTCTCCCTTTTCTTGTGCTAAACTCTTGTATCTTCAGGAAAGCCCAAGTTTCCTATTCATCTTCATTTGCTGCATATTTTTGAATTCTCCATAGATTTCTTTCTTTCCAAATACCTATAAATTATAAACTAAAGTTTTATTTTTGCAGAAAGTCTGCTATTAAGCTGTGCTGATTTTTTTGTCCTGAACAAATAGTGTTAATTTCCACTACCACATTTTACGTGGCTAGGAGTAGTGTAAAAAAATAATGTGGTAGTATTTTATGTGCTTTAAACACTGACAAAGATATAAAGAAAAGTGCATATACAAAGTTTTACTTTCCTAATAGGAACACTGGCATTAGCAAATAGTATATTTGAACCAATAGGAAATATTACTTTGTAGTAGCAAACACTTTGTAAATAAATACTTGTTATTTTTGTAATGGAAATTTTATAGCTTTTTCTGTATACTCAATTGATCCCATGTTTACTGAAAATGCTGCAAGTGGGAATTGTACATTGTAAATGAGGGTGGGGAGCAGACAGGCTGGCTGAGGTGAAAGCTGTGTATGCTTTGGAGAAGAACAAGTTTTCTGTGAACTGAAATGTAAACCTTAACTGTAGAACTGAATAAAAGAATTTCAAGGCAACAGGACCGAGCTTGTCTTTGAGAGGAACACTGCAGAGAAAAGGTCGCTCAAGGTTAACACTGCCAGGCTGTGCTCCTCGTTAGGAAAACAAGGACCTGCCCTGCTTCAATGGGAAACATTGCACCCTTTGGTTATTGCAACACCACAGCCTGGGAACTCTGTCCTCCTGGGCTGGTCATTCTGAGCAACCTCCTGTGTCATTATCCATGGGGAGATGCTGGACATGTTACATTTTGGTAACTCACAAAATGTTTAGGGATATTGTCCCTATCCATTCAAGACACACACCTAATTTATAGCTAAGAGAAGGCCCAGAAACAGGGTGTGTTCCCCCATGCTAGATCTATCCTGCTGAACACCCTTCAAACACCTATAAGACTCTGAACATGTATCCTTCCAAACACCGTCCTATTTTGATAGCAAGAATCCAAATGACAAGAATTTAGGCAGCATTAGATGCAGTCCCTCTTCATCCTCTGTGTTGGTTTTCCAACTCTGCCAAATATGAAAACATCAAGTAATGTCATGGAGCTTGCTTTTCTCCACATGCAGAGAGGACCCATGACTCACTATTTATAATCAGCTGAAAGTAAAGGTTAAAGACAATAGCAGAAGACTTGCAAAATTATAAGTTCATTCTTGTGTAATAAATAGAAACTACCACAAATTCCTTTCATCTAAAATGCAATGGCATATTTGGGAAAGCATTTTCATTAACAGATTTGGCAAATAACCACCTAAAAAAAAGTCTTTTTTATGGGCAAGAAACACGACTGCAGAAATGAGAGGATGAGAGGGTATAGTCTTTATATCAACAATAAAGATATTCAGGGCTTATTTATGCTTCTTTAAAAAATAATTTTAAAATCCTTACCTTCTTTTGTGTCAGTGCTCCATAAGTTACTACCAGAATGACTCTGAAACATTAAGCTGATGGTGAACCTGGTTAGAGTAAGTATTCTCCTCTAAGGAATCCTTATTTCTTTGAGCTATGTTTTCAGCTGGGGATCTCCTCTCCAGGAACCCAACAAAGCAACTGAGGAGATGTGAAAGCATAAAGGCCCATTTCATCTTTTCTAAGGACTCAGCATGGATCTCTAAGAGGTCTGCAAATAGTGCTCTCTGAAATTACAAATACTTTTGGTCAGAGTTTCTCTGACTGTCCAACCAGATACCATCATATCAACATGTTTTTCTTCAGGTAAGTAAATCTGTATGTTTCCTAAAAAAAGGAATCAAGCAATGGTAACTGCTGCAGGATTAAAGTGCTCTGTGCTAATAATGGAAATATTAAGATAACAACAGATATTTTCCTTGGTTAAAAATAACAGTATTTAAAACTGTATCTTGCTGAATTCCACACATTCTGTTAGAAAGCAAAAATATCTGGAAACATTCAGGAAAACCAGAAAACCCCCAAATTTGTGTAGGTTTGTTATTCATTAAACTCTGTCTCAACCCCAAGTGTAGGATAGGAGATAAATGTGCACAACACTTCATTGTCCGAGTGCCGTGTCACGAGTGCTGCCCCGAGCCGTGTGATCCGTGTAGGTTGCTCCTGGAGAGGCTCAGCTGTGCCGCAGGGCGTCCTTTGCCTGCCGGAGGAGGGACCCGCCTGCCCTGGGGGTCCCACAGAATACTGAATTCCTGTTCTGCTCCTCCCACTGGAAATCATTCAAAAGGCTGAAAAACCTAATGTCACTGGGACTTCTTCTTGCTGAACCACAGTTCAGGGGTAACAAAATAGAAGAAAGTGTTCCTATATATTTCACAGAACTTCCCATCTGTCACAAAGGTTAAATCAAGTCCCAAATTGTAGAAGGCACTGCTGGCCACTGGTCCTTACAGCTGTCCCCTGGACAAGTCATTGAAGGCTCGGTTTTGTAACATTTCAAGAATCTCTCACTGGCCACTCAACTCACAGACCCATTAAAAACCTGAAAACACTGTCTCAGGCAGAGCTGCACAAGAAGTGATAGAAAAGCCTACAACAATGAGATGACATCAAAAGGAAGAAGTAAGCAAACAGAAGGGTTTGTGTTCTTCCAGCGTAAGGTGGCAGACAGAGATGCAAAATGGCAAAGTTGCCTAAGCACCTTTCTTGTACAATACACGAAACCACACAGCCAATACTCTCCTTGGTTCAAATGACCTGTGCTAACTCAGGTTTTCATCATCCTGACATTAAAGTCCAGATTATGCAGCAATGACAATATTACATACAAATATTACATTCAATTAATCTGCCACCATTAACTGAACATTATTTTTCGAATATTAAATAGCAAAAGTTAAATTGAATGCCATATTATGTAAAAAGCAGCAAACTGCATTTTTACAGGAACTACTGGCATAAGCAAGATACTTATTTTTAATAAATAAACACCACAAAGACATAAGTGTCTTGGCACACTTAGAAAACGTTTCAAATTAATAAACCCCAGGAAAACGTCCTCGCATTGACCTGTGTATAATTTCAATCTCCAGCTGTGCAGAGTGAAATGAAAACAGCAAGCAGAGCTCCCAGTACCAGGACCGGGCTCAGAACATGGAGAACGAGTTCCTGCAAGGAAAGGCAGGGCGGGAGCGCAGACAGCCCGCGGCGCCTGCCCACCGCACCCGCGCTGCTCTGTGGAGAAGGTGAGAGTTCTTTTCTAGGCAAGAAAGAAACCCGTGGAGCTTCCACAACTGCCGGCATGCTTTAAGGCCACACCTTAGTTCAGCATCAGGAAAAGAGGTGTTCGCATGTTCGTGTGTTTTGTTAAGAGGCAGTTCTCGTGCTGTAAACCTACTGCTTTGGAATGACAGCTTTCGGCCACAACCCGCATTACCATCCTTTCCAAGAAACTGCATCCCTGTCCCGAGGGCCCGGCCTGGATTTGCCGAGCTCCCACGCCTGCCCCGGTGTGCTCGCTCCCGGCCCGCGGGGCTCTCGGGCCGCAGCCCGCGCCGCCTCAGCCGCCTCGGCCGCCTCGGCCGCCTCGGCCGCCTCGGCCGCCTCGGCCGCCTCGGCCGCCTCAGCCGCCTCGGCCGCCTCAGCCGCCTCAGCCGCCTCGGCCGCCTCGGCCGCCGCCGCTCGGGCCCCGCGTTCCCCGCCGCGGCTCGGGGCGCACCGGCCGGGCCCGCCCCAGCGCCCGCGGGCCGCGCCCACCGGGCCGGCGGCGCTCGGCTCCGTGCCCTGGGCTGCCCCTGCCCTGCCCGTGCCGTGCCGTGCCGTGCCGTGCCCTGGCCCGCCCGCGGTGCCTGCGGGTCCCGGCTCGCCCCGCCGCCCGGCTCGCCGCCCTCAGCCGCAGCGCCGCGCGCCAGGCGGGCCCGGCCTGCTGGACACTGCCGTGACCATCCTGCCTGTAAACATCCCCCGGCTCTCAAGAGTTCGGAATTAGCATCCGAGCACTCAGATAACACTTCCACATTACCATAAACAAGTCATTAAGTATAGTTAATGCTGAATTAACCACATTGTAGAAAAAGCTGCTCTGTCGCTAATAAGATGTAGGTTAACACAGCTGCTGGCTCCTTGCAATCAGGATGGCCAGGCTAATGTAAGCCCCGTGAAAGCCCAGGATTTTACTGTTACTACTTTGAAACCTTCTCACCTTTTGATATTTTCTCATCATCTCATTAGCACGACTAAAGCCAAGTTCTAAACATCCTATCTAGGCTGAAAAGCTTCTACTCAATGTTCTGTCAAGCTTCTGCCTACTCTTTTCTGTCATCAGGCAATGCATTAGGTCTATTACATTCAGATTGGATGTGATAGGGCTGCTCTGTCTAGAGGCCATTGCCAAATGACTGAGTCAACTGTATCAGAGCATTTATTGGACTTGTTGGCCCTCGAGCAGCAAAAGCAGCAGCAGAAGGATTTGGACCTGCTGAGGTTTGTACATGAACTGCAGGCCCTTCCAGCACATCTAACTGTTGTACAACTGTGTGTGTGCTCTTGAGATGACTGGTACTGACCCATCTATTAATTATCTGTAGGAAATGGGTGGTTGGCATGATGACAAATGGGCACATATACCACCAGAGAGGCAACAATTCCAGGAAATAAAGCAGTCCTGGATGGTGAAGATTTTTCAGAAATAACTGCATATTCATTCATTTCATTGAGGAGTGCCCATATTTCAAACTTTTGGAAAACATATCACCAAGCAGTATATTTTCTGACTAATGAGCCATTCAGAGTTAAAAAATACACTGGACTAAAAGATAATTTAAAAACATAAGAATAATTTTAAAATACAATTGCAGCCAAATATAACTCATTCCAATTATAAATTGATATAATCCTCCCAGCTGAGAGTTCTCTTGTTTTATTCAACTGTTTAAACCTGTGTTAGAAATGTTTATATGAAAAAAAAAAAAAAAAAAAAAAAAAAAAAAAAAAAAAAAAAAAAAAAAAAAAAAAAAAAAAAAAAAAAAAAAAAACACCAAAAAAACAGGAGACTGTCCTTTCCTGTGTTCAAATTCTTTAAAGATAAAAAACCTGAAAGTAAAATGTAGTGAAGTACTACAAGGGCATGGAAGAGAGCAGGCCAAGAGACATTCCTAACCAAGTGGGTCTGGTTCCATGGGCACAGGATGCACATACAGCAGAACAAGTAAGCACCCTGAGGAGTGACTAAGGTACTTCCAGAATTATTTCTTCCTTCTCCATCAGCACGTTTTTGTAACTCTATATAGAGGGTAAAATACTGTATGAATTGGATACCCAGGAATGTGCTAAATCTCTGAAACAGTGCTATGGAAGAGAGAAAATGCACATGCCATACCTGCTCAGTGCTCCCTGGGCTTGGTGGTGTTGAACTGGAGAACCGGCAGAGATTTGTGCACTTACCCCCAAATCCCTCAGGCCCTTACTGATCACAACCACTCCGGGGAAGAGCTGCTACAGATTCTTGCCTTTACAAGGTTGGCAGTGTACTGGGTCCTGTGCTTGCTCCCAAGGAGCTTGGCCAGCAGGGGAACACAGAATGAATTTTGTGTGGTGCACAAAGAGTTAAGG